TTTCAGCCCCACCTCCTGATTTCGCAGGAGGGGAGGGGGCTTGAGGTTGACTTAATTGTCAATGGCCAATGACTTAGTCAATCACGACTACGTAATGTGGCCTCCATAAAAACTCAAAGGACAGCTCCTTGACCTTTTTTGGAGAGCTTCCACATTGGAGAACCAGAACACTTCCACGTGCCACCTCGCTGGGCCCCAAGCTCCACAAGGACAGAAGCTCCTTTGTCCGGGACCTTGCCCTGTGCGTCTCTTCACCTGGCTGTTGATTTCATATCCTTTGTAATAAATTGGTAATCTAGCAAGTAAACAGGTTTTCTTGAGTTCTGTGGGCCATTCTAGCAAATTAATGGAACCCAAGGAGGGGCCGTGGGAACCTCTGATTTATAGCCAATCTATCAGAAGTATAGGTAACAACCTGGACTTGTGATTAGCATCTTGAGTTGGAGGGGGTTGTTGGAACCTCTGGTTTGTAGCCGGTTGGTCAGAAGCACAGGTAAGAACCTGGGCTTGCGACTGGCCTCTGAAGTGGAGGGCAGTCTTGGGGGTTTGAGTCCTTTACCTGCGGGATCTGATTTTATCTCTAGATAGTGTCAGGATTGAGTTGAATTCTTGGACACCCTGCTGGCGTCTGAGAATTGCCTGTTGGAGGTGTGGGGGAACTCCTCTACATGTTGGAATTGGGAGCAGAAACTCCTTTGCAGCACCTTTCATAAAATTTGTTATTTCCTGCCATGGAAATATATGGAAATAGCCAATAAACATGAAAAGGTGCCCAGCATCATTAGCCATCGGGGAAATGCAAGTTAAAATCACAATGAGATACCACTACACATCCACCAGAATGATTAATTTTTTAAAACTGACATTACTAAGCATTGGAGAGGCTGTGGAGCTACAAGGCTGTCATACATTACTGATGGGGAATACAAACTGGGGTAAGCATGTCAGAAAATTGACTACTAAAGTTAAACATGTATTTATTTGCCTTCACCCAGAAATTCTGTAGTAGTGATTGGGTAGGAGCATAAGAGCAATGCTGGAAATGTTCTGGGTGGCAGATACAGAGATAGGTTAACTTTGTAATAATTCGTTGTATACATTTATAAGTTACACATTGTTTTGTATTTATGTCATATCCAATAAAAATGTAATGCTTATTACCAAGAAAAAAATTGTAGCCTATATGCAAGGTTTAGATGTTTGATCTCCTCAGTTGTCGGCAGGGAGAACTTTCTTAAAGGCAAGGGTGAAATAGACACCTTCATTCTCTAAACCTTAGGGGGACTAAGGTTGTGAGTGTATGCACAGGACTTCTTTCTTCCTTCTTGCCCTAATTTGGTTTCCTAGAAAGCTGGATGATTTGCTCATAACTTGCGCTCCCCCGCAAGGAGTACACTGACTGCTTAGAGATATTTTCAGTTTTAACATCTTTTAACTCCTTTTACTCACAGTGGAATTTAATCTGAGGACCTGGACAACAGAATTAAGTGAATGTGGCAAGTCTCTCTATAATAATCAAGTCTCATTTGGTAGCAAGCGGCAAAAATTCAATACCAACTAGGGGTTCCCAACATTTGGAAATGCATTGCTTATGGAACTGTGAAGATGTATTTCTCAGATGTACTTTTAGCTTCAAGCCTTAATTGGATACAAATAATCTCATCAAGACACTGTCTCTGAGCTCTGCCTTCCTCTGTGTTAGCTTTATTCTCAGCTAGTCATTTCCCTCAGAGTGCCAACAGATTAGCTACAGCTGGCTCTAGGATTATGCCATCCACATAGCTAGCAATCCCATGGGGAAGAGCATGTCTCTTTCATGACCGTTCTAACAAAAGTTCCAGGAAGGGCTGAATGGTCAGGCTTGGGTCACCCGCACGTTTCTTGAATCAATCACTGTGGCTAGGAAGATTTGATACTCTGACTAGACAGGCCTGGGTCATATGGAAACCCTGAGGTTGCAATGGGGAGAGGTCATAAAGTGGATCACCCACAATAAAGAAACTTTCCTTAACAACAAAAAAAAGAGAGGGTTAGGAAAAGTATGGAGGGCAGGCATACTAAAATTACCACAGTCTACTACATTTCCTGAGAGAAGTAGCTTGTGAGCACTCACCCCATAGTCCTATATCCTGTAGTGGTGATTTCACTAGCCCATAGCTACTTAAATCAAAAGCTGGAAGGGAGAATGTTTCAACTTGGGAGTGTGGTAAAAGAATTCCCAGTCCTCTTAGGTTCCATAAATATATCACCTTGTTCTGTTAAAGCATTTGAATGTGGTTTTAAAATATGCCCAACAAAATGCCATCAGTTGGTTTCTCCAGCTAATAAAGAAAATGTTCATGAGTTGGTAAAGAGTCAAACTCGTGATTGTGCCATTAGAATCACAGTAGGTTCTTTTCAAGAAATCCTCACATCTTATCTTCAGCAGGAGAAGCAGCTCTTTGCTACTCAGAGATTAACTTGCCTTAGATGATACTGATTCCTGTTCTAGTTTCGTGTTGGAATTCTGTTCATTATTTACATTTTTTAAAATCGTGGCATGTCCTCAGCAAAAAAGAGGAGGATTGGCAATAGATGTTAGCTCAGGGCTAATCTTCTTCAAAAAAAAACTGTGGCATGATTCATATCTCATATCTAATTTACCTAGCCTCTTACATAATGTTTATTAGCTCTAAGTTAAAAATAGTCATTCAGATCAGATAAAAAAGATAATTGGGTATACTCTGTGGTGAACTTGGAGCTAATCTAAACATGGCTACACAGCTCTAGACACCGACATTAAACACTTGGTCTGCTTGCACAGGCAACCCTCAGTTATGGAGCTGGTTTAAAGACTTGGTCTGTGTTGGAGGCTACAGCTTTTCCCTGTAAGGTAAGAAGCTTGCTCACCTGCAATCTCCCCTCTAATCACGGTATCTCCAGGTGGACTGTCTTTTTTTTGCCAAAAGAAGGCAAAGGAGAGGTAGAGGTGAAGAAGAGTTCTCTAGTCATGCCAACTTCCTTCCTTCATCAAGAATCTCTTGCAATAAGCGTCAAATTACAGACTGTTGCGAAAGCCACAAACGTGGACGGTGCCCGGACACTGAGACTAGAGTATATACCATTCATTCAGTAGACATTTACTGAGAACTTGCTATTGGCCAGGTTCTATACTAGGTACTGATATTACAGTGAACATGAAAGACAACGTCCCTGACTGTATAAGACATTCCAGTGGAGAAGACAGACATAAACAAATACAAGTCATGTGTCCCTTAACAACGGGGACAGGTTCTGAGAAATGCGTTGTTAGGCAGTTTCATCATTGTGCAAACATCATAGAGTGTAGTTACACAAACCAGATGGTATAGCTACACGCCTAGACTATATGGTATTAATCTCATGGGAGTAGCAGTGCCTGCTATTTTTAGACATGGTGGTTAGTGAAAGCTTCTTCAAGGAGGTAACATTTAAGCAGAGATGAATTAAGTGAGAAATTAGCTCAGCACTCCAGGAAAAGGAAAGAGCAGAGTGCAAAAGCCCCGAGGTGGGAGTGTGCTTAGTGCAAGGAAACCACTCCCACTAAGTGGGAGAATCATACAAAAGGAGATTGGAGGCCAGGACTTACAGCGCTTGTCGAATACGGTGTGGGTTTTAGATTTTATTCTAAATATCACAGTAAGCCATTGGAAAGTTTTGAGCAGGAAAGTAACATGGTCAAGGTACCTTGTGAAAGGATCACTGACAGCTAGGTGGAGAATAGGCTGTAGCTAGGTGTCTCAGTCAGAGTCCAGCCACGAAAAGAAAAACCACTCTAGTTATTTCAGGCAGAGGGAATTTTAAGAGTAATAGATGTCAAAAGGAAGAATGGGGTGATATCAAAGATTGGAAGTGCTAAAAATACCCCTGGCTGGAACCTATGGGAGCTGCACCAGCTCCTGTGCCATTTGGAGATGTTGTCACTGTCATCCTCTATTTACTAGAGAGGTGCCACCCTGGCCAAGGAAGGAACTGCTAGAGTCAGGAATCACCCTAAGTTCACTTCCATTACACAAATGTTGGGCAATTGCCTCACTATTGAATCCAGAAGCAGAAAGTTACCTTCCTCCTCCTGCCTTCTGATTTCCTGCTAGTGCCTCCTACTGGTAGAACTTCACTGGAAGCCAGCTGGCGTGAGAAGTTGAGAACAGTAGTTTACACACTCTGGACCCCTGCGGCACAGAGTATACACATGAGCACTTGTAGAACTGAGAAATAACAACTTCCACAGTCAAGGGCAGAAGCAGGGAAACCGGTAGCATGCTACTCCTATATATAGTGCAGATGAAAACGATTAAGGCTTGGACTAGAAGTGGTTGGATTCAATATATTTCCTGAAGACAGGGCCGAAGAGAAGAGTCAAGGGTGATTCCAAGGACTTCCGCCTGAGTAAATGGGATAAAGGACGGTTCCGCGTATTAAGATAAGGAACACCAGAGGAGGCGTGCACTGCATCTGTTTGGTGGGTAAGGATAAATCAAACGTTCTATCTAAAGTTAACCTTAAGATGTCTATTATAAATTCAAACAGAGATAAATAGGATGTAGTTGAATACACCTCCTGGAGTTCAGAGGAAAGGGTGGGATCAGAGATGGAATTTAAAACCTTCTCTGACCACCACCCATGGGATTAGATGAGGGAGTGACTGAAAAGAGGTCCCAGGCCCGAGCCCTAGAGCGCCTGAGCACTTCAAGAGGTCTGGAAGGGGAGACAGGGCCAGCAAAGGATAATCCAGAAGGCTCAGGAAGGTAAAAAGAAAACCAGAAGCGTGCAAGGTGATGGAAAACAAGCGAAGGCTGTGTCCCCGGAAGATGGCAACGATCAGCTGTGCCAACTGTTGCTGCAAGACAAGACGCGAGAATTACCTCACTGGATGTGGCAACTAGGAGGTAGGGAGGACAGTCTGAGGCGAGTGGTTCCCCCTTTGGAGGAGTTCGGCTGCAGAGCGAAGCAGAAGAACGCGGTGGTAGCTAGCGGGTGATATGCAGCGCGGGGAGAACGTCCTCTACCGGACGGGCTCCGATGACGAGGGGACTCTGCTGGTAATGACCGCCGGGCGAGCACGGGAGCTCAAGTCCCGGCTGCCCGCCCTCGGGGACCAGCCTTGGGGAAACTCCTGAATCCGTGCGCGCCGCCCGCAGTCCCGGCCGGTGCCGGCGAGGGAGGGCGCCGGCCGGGGGCCGCGGACGACGCGGGGCGGTGTGCGGGCCTCGGGGCCGCAGCGCTGAGGCGGCGCGGGCCGCCGGCGCCCTCCCTCCGCAGACGAGAGAGGCCCGGCCCACAACGCCCTCCGTCCATCCTGCCACAAGACAGCCACAAAATGGAGGAGGGAAGCAAAACCCCTCTCGAGAGCGTCTCTGCGCGGGGGCCGCTTCCTGCCTCGCCCGGTTCTCGTCAGCGCCCGGCCGCTCCCCCCGGCGCCTCGCCCCACTTCCCCCGGACTCCTCGCACCCCGTCCTGGAGCCCCTGGGACTGCTGTCCCCTCCAGTCCGGCACGCCCGCACCCCAACACCCCACCCTGCGCCCAGAGCTCGGGGGTCGGGCGGGGCCGGCGCCCGGCTGCGGAGGTCACGTGGCCCGCGCCGGCCAGTAGGCGCGCGGCTCGGGGACGAGCCCAGCCCCGCCGGGCGGCGGTCGGTCAGTCGGCTTTGGCGGCTCAAGCGAACGCGGAGGTGCGGAGCCGGCGGGCCTGTCGGGCAACGAGGTGCGGCCGCGCGTCTCTCCGGCCCCGCACGCCCCTGCTGCCGCGGCGCCTCGTGACTTCCCCTTTCTCTTCAGGACAAGGCCATGGAGCGCGAAGTCCAGCGGGTTCGCGATGCGTTCCTGTCCGGCCGGTCGCGACCCCTGAGGTTCCGGCTGCAGCAGCTCGAGGCCCTGCGCAGGATGGTGCAGGAGCGCGAGAAGGACATCCTGGCAGCTGTCGCCGCCGACCTGTGCAAGGTAGGCGCGCGGCGGGAGCGGGGGACACCCGCCTCCTGCTGTCCCACCGCTGACCGCAGTCCGCCTGAGCGTCTGCATTTTTGAATTTATTTTTGATTACGCGAGCACTGTGGGAGTATTAGCTCCAGTAGTACAGATAAAGCAAAAATTTCCTCGGCCTTGCCCGATCCTCCTACCTTGCTTAGAGCCAGCCCTTGTTGCGCGTTTGCAGACACATGGCAGTGCGTGTGTCTTCTGGCCTCTGTTGTTCTTTTGTGAATTGTTTTTTCTAATCTTGCCTGTTTTTCTGTTGCATTTATGGTCCTTTTCCTAACTATTTGTAGGAATTCTTTGTATATTCTGTATTTCGGTAATTTGTCAGTTTAATATATTGGGGATCTTTTTCTCCCGGTCTATTTCTTGTCATTTAACTTTGTTTATGGTTTCTTCTGTAGACAGAGGTTTTTTGGTTGTCGTTGTTGCTCTCAAATTTTCCTCCATGACTTCGTGTTTTAGGCCAATGCTCCTCAAACTGCCGAATCACCTTGAGATCTTGTTAAAATGCAAATTACGGTCCAGTAGGTCCGGGAGGGGGTCTGAGATTCTAAGTTTCTAACGAGCTCCCAGGTGGTACCTTGCTGCCTGTTTTGGAACCACGCTTTGAGTAGCAAGGTTTTGGGTAGTGTTTAGGGTGTAAATATATGCCCCTATATTTTCTAATAATGTTATCATTTTGTTTTTACTTTTTATTTTCATTCCAGGGGTAACAAGGCCTTGCTCTGGCTTTGAGAGTCTCATTTCCCTCAATCAAAGATTATTTTGAGGGGTAGAAAAAACAGTAACTATAAACTTTCCTTTATAGTACTTTTGGTGGAGAGAGGCTGTGATATCAAATAAACAAGGTGGGATAATTAAGATTTCAAAGAGTCTGAATCATTCCTTCTACAAGCATCACATATTTGTGTGAGTATGTGTATATATAGGATTATTAAAGAAATACAATAAGTTCCTTTCCCTTGAGAGTTTCAAATTTGGTTGCGAAACAAGAAAAAAAGTCAGTATAGTTATAAACCAGTGTATTAAGGGTGAAATATTAAGACACAGGTGAAAAGCATAATTGCTATGGTTTATAAAGTGTGATCAAGGTAGGCTATTATTAATCAGGGAAGTCTTCCTGAAAGAGGTGATATTTAAGCCTGGTTTTAAATGGCTTGGATCATTAAAGAAGGATTTAGAGGGATTGACTATATTAGGGAGTTAGCAGGTCCTTATTGAGGGGTTGGAGGGTGCAAAAGGAATCTGAAAGGCAAACCAGCTAGTCTGATAATGCCAGTGGTCACTGCAGGTGTTGCTGGCCTGAAGTTTTTGACCTTCAGGGCCGAGTGTGTTATACTCATGCAAGGTTAACTGTGATTCTCTTATAACAGAGTGAACTCAATGCATACAGTCAGGAAGTCCTTTCCGTTCTTGGGGAAGTTGATCTCGCGCTGGAGAAGCTTCCTGAATGGGTTACTGCTAAACCAGTTGAGAAGAACCTGCTCACCATGCTGGATGAGGCCTACATTCAGCCAGAGCCACTGGGAGTTGTCCTGATTATCGGAGCTTGGAACTACCCCTTTGTTGTCACCATTCAGCCTCTGATAGGAGCCATCGCTGCAGGTCTGATGTCAGCTCATGTCTTTATACCTTTTTAGAGGGACTTATTTTCTCATACTGGTAGTAAATTAAGGATAGTGGCTGATTAAATACATTTGCTTTGGTGGTTTGCTCGATACACCAGTAGTGTATTGAGAATTTATAAATATTATTTTTTTAAATGGCCTCCAGAGGAGATTTGCATGGTGTCTGTTTCTTGAAGTACCTGGGGAATGAACCTGCAGGGATATAAAGGCGTGAGTCAGCAGGCCCAGGTGTTTGGAGTCAGGCGTCCATATTCTGATACGGTTTCAGTAGCTGGCTCTGGCCTTGGATGAACGATTTGAGTCTGTCTGACCAGTTTCTTCATTCACTTAAGGTCTATGGGAATAATGGTAGCTTGGGTATATAGCAAATGCCAAGAGATTACTTTCTCACTTCTGCAGGATCCAGATCAACAGCTTTATGTTGACAAGCTTGTTTGCCAGTAATTCCAGGGAAAACAGGAAAATCCAAGGGTAGAGTGGGAGAAAAGTGAGAGAAAGCTGGAGGAGTGGGCGAGGCTGATGGAGCCTATTGTCAGTGACCTGAAGATGAGAACTAATGAGTAAGCATTTGAGAAGGAAAAAGTGAGACTAGCTCTTATGCTCACGAGAAAGAGCAGAATTAAGAGCTACAGAAATAATTGGAGTAGTTAGTCTGTATTCCCCACATGAACACATTTTGGTAGGTATTAAAGTTACTCAAGTATTCAATGAAGCTGTCCTGCTTTTTGCTTTGTTTAGGAAATGCTGCGATTATTAAGCCTTCTGAACTAAGTGAAAATACAGCCAAGATGTTGGCTAAGCTCCTCCCTCAGTATTTAGACCAGGTAAGAATGTCTTGACTCATTTTCAACACATCTCTTTATTATGGGGAGCGCACATTTGATCTTCCTACTAGTACATGTCATTGATGGCTGGGGATCTGTTTGCACTTTCCTTAAGCGTCTAGTAACTGGCTTAATAAAAGAAGTTCCAAAATGAACTGTGGCATGGCTCAGCTATTGTAGTTGCCCAATATATTTAGGCCCATGGCTTCATTGGCACCCCTGCTATTTACAGATCCTTTTCTGCCATTTGGCGTTTTGAATTAACCTTTGTTTTATCTAACATGATTTTAGGTGTATTCATTTAGTGAATTATTTAGTGAGGGACCGCTGCTGTGCTGGGTGCTGATAATCTCTTTGTCTTAATGGGATATGGCTATATAAGAACACTTCTGCAGGGCCAGCCTTATGGCCTGCTGCTTACGTTTGGCACGCACCGTGGTCAGCGGCCATGCTGTGGCAGCAACCCACATACAAAATACAGGAAGATTGGCACAGATGTTAGCTCAGGGCAAATTTTCCTCAGCCAAAAAAAAAAAGAAGAAGAAGAAAGAACACTTCTGCTTTTAAAATGGGCAAGTTTTGTGGCATTAAAACTACAGAAAGATAATGGCCTCCTGAACCAGAGTATGGATCCTCCGGTGTTAAAGTGCTGGCATTTATGAGTATCAAAAGCTGAATAAAGAAAATGATCTCCTCAATCATGGAGTGGTTCATCTCTCTGTTCAAATTGGAGGTTCTCGTGCCCTCCTAGAGAGGAAGTTTATGATGCCGTCATGAAATTGGGACTGCTTAGTTCTACGTGGAATTGCTTCAGGGAGGAGTTCTCATTTAGCTTTCATTGAAAGGCAACTTTAAAATATCATACCTGGAGTTGTACACGTTAAAATAGCCCAGAGGCCAACTCCAGCTCTTAGAATAATATTGTTCTATTATCACTGCTACAGCAGTGCGCAGAACAATTTTGTTCTAAGAGCTGTGGTTATCCAGTTCAGAAGGATGATGAAGATAGTGAGATGTCATGGATTGAGTAGTATTTGGAACCAGAAGATAGAGGTCGAAAGTCCATTCTTCACTATCTGACTCTGTCCGGATGGGGAAATAATGCCCACCCTGCCTCACTTACCTTGTTGGGGGACCAATCACATATGCTCTGTAGATTAACCCTTTTGCAAGTTAAAACTCGAAACATTTGTTGGGCACTTGAGCTATGAAATGAGTGAGAACTAGTTAGATTTCCTAATTAGCAGGAGATCAAGTGGAAACATGAGGTCCACAAGCCAGCTTTTATTTCATGCCCACATCTCAGAATCTTGTGAACATCTCCTTCTATCTTCCTTCCTTGCCATCTGTTCTCTATCATTGCTTTTCATGCTGTTAGTATCCAGGGTGTTCTCTCTTTCATAATAGCTGTTGATAATAGCACAGTGCACATAAGGGCTCCATCCAAATCTCTGTGACTTCTCTCCAGTAACAGGTGAGGAAAGTGAGGCTCAGAGATGTTCAGTAGCTTGCTAAAGGTCACATAAGCTAGTGACAGAGCCCAGATTTAGTCCAGATCTGACTTAAAAAGTGAGTGCTCTCGCCTGCTGTGCTTTGTATGCCGTTCATTCAGCAGACGTTTACTTGGTTCCTACCAGGGGCTAAGCCCTGCGCTGTGTTACGTAAAGAGAGAACGTTCAGGTTAAGACATTCAGCTGAGACCTGTCTTGTAGTCATTGACAGCAGCCACTTTCTCACCAACATCATCAACTTGCACAGCCCCTATCTCATGCATTTCTCTGGTCAAATTCAGCCATTTGCTCCCTCCTCTTTTGTGTCTTCACGGCTGTTGAGCTCATGTGGAAAACACTGGACTCTGGTCGGTTCCGCTGTCGGTCGTTGGTTCTCAGACGCCTTGAGACTCTGTTCTCCCCATGTCCTCTGACAGCTTCCCCTTCCAACCCTACAATGGCTGGTCTCTATCTTTTCCTGGTTTTACTGGGTTTTATGTGTTTTTGTTGAAGAAATTGCTCGTGTTAGACAATAGGATTAATTTGCACTTGCACAAACATGCAAGTGTTCGTTTTTCTTTCTTTAAGGACCTGTATGTTGTTATTAATGGTGGTGTTGAGGAAACCACGGAGCTTCTGAAGCAGCGATTTGACCACATTCTCTACACGGGAAATACTGCAGTGGGAAAAATAGTCATGGAAGCTGCTGCCAAGCATCTGACCCCTGTGACTCTTGAACTGGGAGGGAAGAGTCCGTGTTACATTGACAAAGATTGTGACCTGGACGTCGCCTGCAGGTGAGACTGGCTGTCTAGTTGTCGGAGGTTTTCTCAGCACAGTCGAGACTTTCCCTGACAGGTTGCTGTATCCTCTTTGCACTGGTGGAACCCTATGCGTCATAGCTCTGAGAGATATCGTTAAGCTTTGGTGGTTGATGTCCTCAGGAGTAACAGAATTCTTTCACAGACTGTCTCTTTGTGCCACTGTCAGAAGAGATAAGCAGTAGGTGTTGACATCACATGATTGTCCTTAGGAGTTACGAACAAGTTCTTTCTGTTATCAAGATTATAGATCTGGCATGAAATTTTACTATTCTGCTGGTAGATTATCCAGGAAGTAGGTAATCCAAAGGAGTAGTGTGTGTGCCTAATAAAATATTTAAATTCCCAACAGAAAGAGTATTATGTTGCTCTCTTAACTGAGTTCCTTTGTTGACAGAACCAGTATTACTCAACTTTTAACTTAGAATAGAATCTTACATCTGGGAACTAGAAAAGGAAAGGTTTTCTCAGGTTCTCTCTGCTAAATCAAGTTTAGCTACCAGGAAGTGCCAAAACTCAGGATTGACTGTGAGCTCGGGGTGGTGTGGCTTTCTCTCCTCTGCAGAGATGGGGGCGAGGAGGAGGGTAGGGAGTTAGGCCGGGCTCCAGGTTGACTTCGAAAGTAAAGTCTACTTGCCAGAACATAAAACCCTCAGTTAGTAGAATGTTCAGGTCTCAGACTGATCCATACATGGGCACAGCTTTGCAAAATGGGGAGGGGGTCCACATAGAAGAGGGTGGTCTCAGAGGCCGGCTGTTGTTCTGCTTTATTACCTGAACATCTTGCCAGCAGGACCTAAAGCCACAGCCAGAGGTGGAGTCTGTATGAGCTCCTGTCATCCTGGGTGTCCCTTCAGCTGGAGCGGGAGGAGGAAGAGGGTATTGGGAGGCTGTTTCTCTCTTCCTGCAGCAGACAATGGCTTCACTGCTTATAAAGTACTATTTCCCATGAGCTGGCATGAGAATTTCCCTGCTCCGTAGAATATTCCACATCAGTGGAAAATGTATTCTCAGTTGCAACCAACTGAATTAGAGATGAGTTTTTAAACCATTTTTATTTTTTATAAAGATTACCAAGTAAATATGAATACATGCTAGTTCTAAAACATTCAAACAACACAGAAATGTGTAACAAATTAATAGTAGACTGAACTCTATGGCTCTTCTGGGTTTTTTCCCCTCAGACGCATAACCTGGGGGAAGTACATGAATTGCGGTCAAACCTGCATTGCTCCCGACTACATCCTCTGTGAACCATCCCTCCAGAATCAAATCGTGCAGAAGATTAAGGAAACCGTGAAGGTTTGTGTTTAACATATATGATTCTATAGGTTTCATTAAGATATGGAGTCAAATCAACTGCAGGCAGCATCCCTATTCCCTCCTCCCCCCAGGAAAATTCCAAAGGTCTCTATGACAGAACTAACTTATTGGCTAATTAAAAATGCTCTGTGCACCTTTCACAGAATGTCTGCTGGGAGCAAGGTTAGCTTGGTGTTAAACACACTTAAACTGTCTAGTTGATTCGTTGATGAAACAACTGGTTAGTTATGGCGCATCCTTTAAAAAAAATTAAGTCTTTTTTGGTTTTGAGAGAATGTTGCCAATCCTTTGAAATGCAGTCAGAGGCCCTTTGGCATATTGGCCGTTGCTGATTAAGGTTATCAGTTCTTGTGTATGGAGAGAGTTTGGGAAGTCCAACAGTTTGGAGGAGTTGATTAAATACCTATTTATAGTGTCCTCTTGACGTGGTTATCAATCTTTTAGGGTATTTAAGGATGTGTAGCAAGGGAATCAAGGAAGGCTGCATGGTAGTGTCCTTAGCTAAGCCTGGAAGAAATGTAGGATTTAGATTGGAAGAAAGGAATGGGATGAACCAGTGTGACTGAGTTCACTGGTGGGAGAGGGTCACTAAGTCCCCTGGGTGGAAGAAATTATTGAAATAATCATTGTTCACTCAACAGGTGCTAATTGAGCACAGAAAGGATCAAGAACACCAGAGAGTGACATAAGTGATCAGAGAATGGCAATGGTATCCCAGGAAGTTTAGGGAAACGTAGTGCTCCAGGGTGGGTAACTGGGCATTAGGTGCTGAGGGACTTGATGTGGGAATTGGACATTAGTGATGGGGCTGAAGATGGAGCCAGACAAGGAGAACATGAAAGGACGATTGGCCAGACTCAGGGAATATAGGACGGCAGAGAGGGGGTTAAAGATACCTGTGAGACTGACGGTACTTTGGAATTGAAGTTGTGCTTAGTTGAGTTGGTGATGAACTTAATTTCAAAGCAATAAAAGCTCCTCTGCCTTCCTTTGAGGCGTTTATAGTCTTAACACAGTGGTTCTCAACTGAAGTTCCCTAGGGAGCCATTTAAGAAAACTTTCCAGTCCTCACCTCCAAAGACTGTGATTCAGTTGGTTTGGGGTCTCCAGGTGATTCTAAGGTGCAACCAGCATTGAAAACCACTGTTGGTGACTCCAGGGTTTGGGCCCAGGAACTTGCATTTCAACAAGCCACCTGGGTGATTTTACCGCCCAGACTTGAGGCTACTTGTGGAGGGTGGGTGAACAATGCTCGTTTTGATTTGAGAGTAAATGAAGAGCTTTCACAAGGCTTTGAGGTGATGCAGTAATTCAGTAATTATACATATGTTTTACATAATAGTTATTGATTATGTGATTTTTGAGGTTCTTTTACCTTGGTTCATTTACCAAAACTGTATTTTGATCCTTTGAGTGGTTTCCCTGTTATCTGTAACTAGTGGACTACCAGTCCAGAGAAGATAATAAAGCAATGAAATAGCGCAACAGCTCAGCGAACGTTTTCTGTAGAGGGCTGGATGGTAAATATCATAGACTTTGCAGGCCGCAGGGTCTCTGTTGCAGCTAAGCAGTTCATTGCAGAAGGAGGGCAGCCACAGCTGACGCTTAAACGAGGGGTGGCCCTGAAACAGGGCAAGACCTACCCCTACACTTCCTCCCGCATTCACCGCTGGGAGGCCCACAGGGAGACTGCAGGAGAGCCATATGAACCCCTGAAAACAAGGAGGATGCGAGATCTGTGTATGTGCTTCAATTCTTGTCCTTGACCCGCCCAAAAGCTTAAACTTACCGCTATTATACTCTACCAAAGTACTTGGGGGTTGGAGTGTGATGATATAAAACCAGATTGATTTTTTGGGCATGAGTGGATTTTGTACTTATTAAAGAAATTGAAATATGAATCTTATGTGACACATACTATTGTTTTAAATAGGAATTTTATGGAGAAAATGTCAAAGAATCTCCTGATTATGAAAGGATAATCAATCTTCGTCATTTTAAGAGGATACTAAGTTTGCTTGAAGGACAAAAGATAGCTTTTGGTGGAGAGACCGATGAAGCCACACGCTACATAGGTAATTGAAATTCACCTTTTCCTATGGGGAGATGGCAATTTGACAGTTTTTGTTGACACTATTTACTGACACTAAGTAAACTATAACAGAGCTTCCTCAACTTAGGATGGAGTTATATCTCAATAAACCCATCGTAAGTGGAAGATACCGTAACTCGAAAATGCGTTTAATACGCCTAACCTACTGAGCGTCGTAGCTTTGCCTAACCTACGTTAAACGTGCTCAGAACACTTACATTAGCCTGCAGTTGGGCAAAATCATCTAACCCAAAGCCTATTTTATAATAAAGTATGAATATCTCATATAATTTATTGACTCCTGTACTGATAGTGAAAAACAGAATTGTCTGTGGGTACAGATGGTTGTCAGTGTATCAGTTCACTGTCGTGATCCGGGGCTGACTGGGAGCTGCGGCTCACTGCCGCTGCCCCGCATCACGAGAGAGCATCGTACCGAATACCGCCAGCCTGAGAAAAGAGCAGCATTTGAAATTCAAAGTATGGTTTCTACTGAATGCTTCTCTAGATATATAGTGTTTAATAAATACTGCTTTCTGATATACTGCTTTTGTTATCAACTATTTAAAGATGATTTTATACATATATACACACACGTTTAATAATACCACCTGTGTTATACTAGTATTTTGTATTTACACATATTTTATGTAATTTTTTTTCTTCCTAACATCCCTAAAAAGCAGAATAGAACTTTATGTAATTATTTCTAATTTATGGCTAGAAAAATGGCACAAAGAAGGAAATAGCTTAGTCACAATTTCACAGCTAGCTGATGGCAATACTGTTCCCAGAAATGATGTTTTGATCTATCGTGCTTTACCTTATCATTTACTTGCTTTTTGTGTTTTTTATTCTTTGCCATGATTATATATTACTTTTGAATTTTAAACACATTTTTCTAAAATAACATATAAGGTGACAGAAGAATTACACATTTAGTTGGCAAAAAAGCTGCCCCAACTACCTTTACTTATCCCCTCTTATGCTGCACATCACAAAAAAGCCCAACTTAAAAAAAAACAAAACTTAAAGGACTTACACAATCAGGAAAAACGTATTCTCTCGTAATGAGCAGTCCCGAGGCGCTTCCAGCCTGTTAACTCACTGGCTCAGTAATACCCTCAGAAATCCCTGATTCTTTCAACTTTCTGTTCTCCCACCCTCAGCTTGTTGACTGCCCACTTCTAGGCTAATCATTGGTCTCTCGTAGTTCAGATTGGTTAGGAACTTGCCCCTGACTGGGAGTCAGGGTCACCTTACCTGAACACATGGCTATGCAGAGGAGGGTGCATATCGGTTCTCTGACCTAGGGAAGCAGTGGGCAGCAGATTAGGGGTAGCACTTATGTACCCCTGGAGTGTGCTGGAAAGAACCATCCTCTGCCATGTGGTCAGGTTAACTAACCTAGTAGGAAACTAAGGGTAAAGGAAAAGAGCAAACTTGTTATTGTCAGGAGTCTTCTCTTTTAGGTGATGATCCAGCTTGTTTACAGGGTCTTTTTGGGTACCCCTAACTGGTGACTTACTTGGCGTGGATGCTGGGACACTGTAAAGCTTCTTCAGTGTCCACATTGCCCTCTTTTCTTATGCCCCTTCCCCATAGTGGATGGAACACTGAACTGAGGGTTAGGGAAGCTTGACCGTTTAAGTACATTTTCTTAATCAGTCTAATGGAGTGGAAGTAAAAGTCAGTAAGATAATATGTAAGAAAGCACTTGAATTAAGAAGTGTTGATTTGATCCACAGAGGGGCTGTCTACACTTCCAGAAAGACATAAACATAACCTCCTGTTATCAATTTGTATGTGAATATGGCTGTGAACAGAGTGAAATAGGAATAGGATATATCCAAGTGTATATCTGTCTCTTGGTTTGCACAAGGATCCCTTGATTGACATGCTTGGAGACATTTAATTTGTACAATTCATCTGCATACTCAGGACTTTTTTTTCAATAGATAATGCTTGGGTGGGAGTAGGAAAGGGATGGATAGGTGACCCAGTGGAACCAATGTAAGATGAGAGTTTTGCACTTCTGATTTCTACCTGAGCATTTTCATTTTGCTTATTACCTTTTCAGCCCCAACAATACTTACTGATGTTGATCCTGAAACCAAAGTGATGCAAGAAGAAATTTTCGGACCCATTCTTCCAATAGTGCCTGTGAAGAATGCAGAGGAAGCCATAAAATTCATAAACGAACGTGAAAAGCCCTTGGCTTTCTATGTATTTTCTCATAACGATAAGGTAAACTCTACAGAGAACAGCTCACTACCATTAAGTCACTGTTGTAAATCTTGTTCCTTCTTTGCTGTAAAGCGAATGATGATTTATTTTTGTGTAACACCAGAGAACACCAAGTGAGGCGGTACTTATATATTACTGTCTTGGGTAATGAGGCCCTGGGGTTATTGCTGTTACCTTTCCCATACTCCCTGGGGTTAGAGCCGAGTCTTCAGGGGTGAGTGTCACAAATTTTTTGACTGACAAGCACCTCCCGTACCATTGGAAAACTTTTATGTACCAACGGTAGAAGCTTTTCCAACATCACTCCACTGGGCGTTCCTGTGTAAGAGCCTTCCCCCCTCACCCAGATGGCAGTCACGGCCACTCAGGTGGGGCTGTGGGCCAGAGATCTCGGGCACTGTCATGGAAATGGTTGTGATATCTTGGACCTCAGTTTCTCTAGTTACATTACTTTGTTGTTAAAGCAGTGGAACCATACCAGTCAGGAGAGCACGTTGCACCACATCATACCAGATTGCGCGGCTCTGCCACTTTCTGCACGGCATGGTTCTTTCGAGTTGACTGGCTGCTGCTAAGGGACAGTGGCCTCAAGGTGGGCAAGTAGGTTCAGGAGCCCTCTGAAGAAAAGGGAAAACATGGGGCCGGTCAAGATCTGAGGAGCCCTCAAACTAAATGTTTTCTGGAGAGCCTCTGATGGTAACGTATAGGTAGTCGTGGCGGCTGCTAGAGCTTGCAGTGCTGTGGAGATACAGCTCTGAAGCGAGACCAGACGTGGGCTTAGTAAATAATGGGTTACTAACCAACAGTGGTCTGCATTTAAATGACCATAAGTAATGTGGTGGACGGGAACCCTGAAGCCTAAAGTCTACTGGCCAGGGCACAGGTCGGTGGAGAGCACTTCCAGTGGTTGAGTCACCTGCTATAACCACAGTCCACTGTGACTCTCGCTGGGAATACCTCTCAAGGGCTTGTTGGCAGCCAGGCGGAGTGACAGTTACCAGTCAGGTGTCATTGTGCCTGTTGAGGTCTTAGACCAACCATTTATTTCGTCAAAAATAGGATGCTAAATCTGAAATCTTAAATATTTTTTGCATTGAAATCTTAAATATTTAGTTTCATAAAAACTAAACGATATCTATTAATCATACGCTATAATTGAGAGCCGAGATGGAGAAATATTAACAATTTTTAAAAACTGGAACATGGACGGAACTTCCCTTATGAAAAAAAGGCTTTTGCTGCCATTTGGGGTAGTCCAGCTCTAGGTGGAGACTGAGTAAACAGGACCAGTTCGTTGCTGCCTCCTTCACAGCACCAGATATGCGTCTGAGAACTTAGATACTGATCACGTTTGCTGAATTGAACACTTTAGGTTGTCTGTGTGTTTGGCACGATGTCCCCGGACTCGAATGGTGGTGCCGACACTCAAAGCTGGGCTGTTCGTCCCCACGGCACACAGCCCGGCTGCCGGTGGTGCTGCTGACTTGGAGCCTTTGTTCTGTTCCTCAGCTCATCAAATGGATGATTGACGGGACGTCCAGCGGCGGTGTCACAGCTAACGACGTCATTATGCACTTCACACTCACCTCTTTACCCTTCGGAGGAGTGGGTGAGTATTCCTCTCTCCTGTTCATAGCAGGTATTTCAAAGGCCCCACCATTTCATGAATCATGTGGTTGTCCTCTCCTGAGAGAGGCCTTCCCTGGCCACTCAGTCTTCCTGCCACCCCGCCAGGCCCTCTGCTAAGGGGTTAATCTCTGTCCTGTCACTCATTTTCCATCCTAAGTAGCACTTATCACAATCTGTAATTATTTTGTTCTGTTCATTTGTTTATTTGTTTATTGTCTTTCTCCCAGATTAGAGTATTTTTTGGCCAAAAATCACGTCTCAAATTCATTGATTAAGGTCCTTCTGTCTTTGTTTCAAGTGAGGTAGTGAATGACAGGTTCAGGATGCCAGGAGCAGACAGCAGTCCAAGGTTTTCTCCTGTCCCTCAGAGTAGCATTAAGTAGTACTCGGTTCCCACCTGCGTTGCTCCCCAGCGTTCTGTGCCGGGAGCGGCCTCTCCTTGAAATGTTACGCTGTTTGAGAGGAGCGAGAGACTCCCCATGTTCTAGAGAGGATGGGCAGAAAGAAATTCACTCTCAGTGAAGCTCTGTGGATACAGCCTGGTCTGGTGCTCCGTTTGGGCTGTGACCTGCCTCCCTCTTTTACACCTGAGATGATTGACTCAACTTTTTATTTTTCCTTCGAGACCTAGGTGGTAGGCTTCTCTATTATCTAATAGAGATATTAAAAAATAGTGAATGTGTAAAAATTCTCATAGCAAAAAGCAAACAATAAAGCCATTGTCTTAAAAGTTCCTGCTTTATTCTCTCCCTCTGTAATAGCATAAATAAATTACTCCATAGGAATGAAACAGCCCGGTTTTGCAGGAACTTATTCCTGATTAAGACAAGCTTGTTCCATGGCCAAGAAACCCTGGCCTGCTTCCCATGATTGCCACATGTCCCTTTACATATCCCTTTCTAGGGTGTAAACACATTGCCACCACCCAGCACAGTGCCTGGCATGTGTGAGGCCAGGCGGGGAGAGGCCAATACTGTGGGATCCAGACGGGAGCTGGTGGTAGCTCGGACTAGGATGGTGGCAGGGGAGCTGGTGGAAAGGGAGTGGATATTTTAGGGGGTCAAGCAGCAGGATTTGCTGATGGATTGTGAATGTGTTGCCTGGGGAGAGATGGTGAATGAAAGAAAGGATGGTTCGTGGGATTTGGGCTAGAGTTACTACTGTAGTTTCACTGCCCAAATTCTTAAAAGATTGGATTAGACTCTGCTATCTCTGGTTCCTCAGTACCCCACAGGATCCTGGCTCCCACCCGACAGCTGCAGCGGGAGTGACGTCACTGGTGCCTCCTAAAAGCAAACCTGGTGACTTGGGTTCAGTCCCTATCTTGCTTGATGAGGTAGCATTTGGCATCATTGACCATACGCTCTTCTTTATAACAAAACAGACCTTTTTCTCCCTAAATGCAAAAGGGATACAGACTTTTAAAGAAACTTGGAAGAGATAGAAGAGCCCAAAGAATAAAAATTTAATTACCTATAACCACACTATTTAAAGATAACCTCTGGTGTATGTCCTTAAAATTTTTTCCTTGCATAAATGCACACACATATACATAAATGCATGAATATTTTATTCAAAAATGGTATCCTATTGTATATTGTTTTCTACCCTGTATGTGACAACATAGTGTGACATTTTCCCATGTCAGTATGCTTGCATGTCATGATTTTAGTAACTGCATACTGTTCCATCATAAGAATGCAGCATTATTTGCTTAACTAATTCCTGGGTAATAGGTTTTTGTGATTTCAAATTTGTTGGTATTATGATTCTAATATATTTTTGTGCAATTTCTGCTTATTTCCTTAGGAAAAATGTCTAGAAGTATAATAGCTGTGTTAAAAGGGCTTACACTATTTTTTCAAAATGAAATGGTTTTTTCAAATTCTAAAATATAGGCTTTTTGGGAAAAAAGGGCAAAAACAAACAAAACACTACAGAAAATTAAAAGGAAAAATGTAGTAATCTCCCAGGCATAAACACTATTAATATTTTGGCATATAGTTTAGATTTTCCTTTAAAAATACATATCTTTTGATACATATTGCCAAATTTCCCTTCAGTTCCAGCTGTCACCAAAATGACACACCAGCAGTCTTGCCCCAGTTAACTGCTTCCTGAACCCCCATCGCCCATGCCTTAGGCTACAGTGCCTTATACGTGCATCAGCCTAGCACACATGGTAGATTAGAGAAATGAAAACTCGCAGAGCATGGCTTTTTAAGAGGGCAGAGATTTACACTTGCTTATTATCACCCAGCTGCATGACCCTGCCATTCTGGTCCTTGTTACTTTCTAGGAGCTCAGAGGACACAAGTGGGTGAGTAGGGCTGTGGATCAGTGAAGCCCCAGGGAATGGCAGGAAAAGAGCACACATAGCACTTAGCGTCAGACGATCTGGCGTCACATTCTGGCTTTAGATTTTTCACCTTGGGCAGGTACCTGACTCTGCTAAGCTTCCTTTCCCTCTCTGGAATTGGGGGTGGGGATACTTTACACAGTGGGGCAGTGGTGAGAATTAACTTAGAGAATGCATTTAAACACTTAGCACAGTCCCTGCCGTCGGTGGGAGCCACTACCCCAGAGAGCTGCAAATCTTTGCCCTGCTTTGGAAAGCGTCCTGATTGAAAGGGAGATTCGCCTTGCGGGGAACGCTGGGAAGAATTTCCTGAAAATTCAGAGCCACTTGCGCTGGCCTAGAAGTTAAATGGGGGCGTCCCGGGCAGCAGGGCGTACTCTGGATTTTCTCCGCCAGTGTGTAGACAGAGAAGTAGCTTGTGTCACCTACAGTGGAGCCTGTTTTGCCTGTTTCCTTTATTCCAGGTTCGAGTGGGATGGGAGTTTATCACGGAAAACACAGTTTTGATACTTTTTCTCATCAACGTCCCTGTTTATTAAAAAGTTTAAAGAGAGAAGGTGTTAACAAACTCAGATACCCTCCCAACAGCCAGTCAAAGGTGGACTGGGCCAAATTTTTCCTCTTGAAAAAGTTCAACAAAGGAAAACTCAGTCTCCTGTTCCTCGCTTTCCTTGGCATTGTGGTGGCTCTGCTTGTCAAGGTAAGTCCCCATACCTCCTGAGGTGCCAGTCCTTCTGGTCCTGATTGATGGCTGCCAGGTGCATTTCTCTTCTCTTGGGAGCGCCTCTAATTTTATAAATCAACTCTCTCTTATATTAACTTCTAGAGTCTAAGGGTTGGCAAACTGCAGCCTGCCAGCTAGCCGCCTGTTTTTATAAATGACGTCTCACTGGGGCGCAGCCGCACTCCTTGCGTACTGATTGTCTCTGGCTGCTTTTGTGCTACAACAGCAGAGTTGAGTTGGTTGCAACAGCGACTTTATGGTCCATCAAGCCTAAATTATGACAGGAAAAATTTGCCAACCTCTGGTCTGAGTGTTTAAAACACTATAGAACTTGCTTGCAGAATTCTGAGCTCTCAAACCCTCTGATCCTTTTGCTGTTGGTGTTTCAGTTTTGTTCTTGACTATGCATGAAATCAGCATGCCATGGAGATGGAGGAGAGAATTCTGTGGTGGACGATAGGGGTGGTGAACCAACTTTGGTGAAGGAAGCTTGAATGTTTTTCCTCCAAAGTTGTCTACTATATAAAGTTTGTCTTTGATGATTAGTTATTATAGACATGGCCCTGCTAAGAGGCCCTCGTGACAGCTGGCTTCCCAAGGCAGTTTGTGTATCTTGGGTGAAGGAGAAAATCCAAGATAATGAAAGTTAAGATGCAACAGGGGAAGGCGACTGTGTTCTTGGAGCTCTCAGCCAGCCAACTGAGGAAATATATTGAAAATATTGACAACATCCATGAAGAATAGGTTTGGAAGAGAGGCAAGATTCAAGCATTTAATGGAAATAGCTGTGTTTATATCTGTATTTTGTTTAAAATTTGAAAGGGGGTTGGCTCATCTTAAGTATCACAGCTTTGGAGGAATTAGAGATATCAGTCGCATTTGAAATCATTTGGGTTTTCTCAGAAATACCAAGCTGTGCTGAGGAGAAAGGCCCTGTTGATTTGTCTGGCAGTTCACAGACTGTGTTGTCCGGTAAGCAGTAATGAACAGCAGTTTTCAGAACCCAGTTCTGTCTGTTAAGAGTGAGGTAGGAACTCCTTGTTTTCTTTCTATATGTAAAGTGGGCCAGGTTGGGGTATGTTTTCTTTTAGTTGTTTGTTTTTCTGTAATTGGAGGTTTAGGGGTTATTAAAAAAAGAATATTTAACTTATTTGTTTCCAGACATTTTGGGCCTTGGCCCAGAGTATCAGAGTGTTAAAACTTAACTTATCCACAATTTTAAAAGGGTGAGGGTGGGTTGCTGGAATCTTAAAACATGTGTAGAGGTAATGGCCTAGCTGGGTCTAGGTGAAGCATCCATTATTTCCAGAAAAAGGATAGACACACACACACCTCCTTCCTCTTCCCCATCTGTTCAGCTCTCCTGGAGGAAGTGCCAGCTGACCAATTTGGCCTATGGTCACCATTTAGATACTGAACTCTATGTTTCATAATTTGAGAACAATCTTCCAAAGACCTCTGAGTCACTTTTTTTGTGAGTTGTTTTGGTTTTTAAAAAAAGTTTGACTTTAGAATTCATGGTAGCCAACTTAGTGAATCAAAGCATAGTGTGCAATTTAGGTGCTTTCTGTTCTCATTTCTGCATCTTCCTGAGGTGTGCTTGGGTCTCTGGTCAGTATCTGCCTATCTTGTTCTTTTCCCAAGAGGGTTTGGCAGACAAGCCTTTCTCTGTTAGGGTCTAGAGAAGCAGCAGTGTATAAAAACATTTAGCTGGAAACAAGAAAATGTGGCTTTGATTCCTGGCTCTGAGATGGATTGAATTATGACTTTGGGCAGGGCCTTTTCCAAGCTCGTCCTTAGACCTCAGCCTGCTCGTCTGTGGAATGAGGGAGAAGGCACCAGTGAGTTCCTAGGTCTCTTTCACCTCTACCTCTCAGCTCTGTTCCTGTGAGCTGATGTGTTAGTTGTTCACATTGTTTTCAGGTTGGATCCACTGTGAGACTAGGTAAAGATTTGGTTTTCTTCTTCTGTTTGCTGCTTCTCTGCTCTTCTGTCTGAGCTTTTATTCTCTTTTTATCAAATCACCTTTTATTTTAAATAAATGACTCTGAGCCCATATTGTGTATTTATTTGAGTCCTTATTAAACATTTTTTCTGAAATTGCTTTTCTGCACCTGACAGTTATTTTGTTATGTGCTTGAGCTTGATATTATTAATTTACTTTACTAGAATTAGAATGGATTTGGAACATTTTTAAAAGGGAAATTGAAAGCAGTGATTATCAATCTAAAAGGAGCAGGTCAGAATCTCAGAGTGAGGAGGAGTTTTCTATATGCATTTAACAATATCTATGTATGTACACAGAAAGTTCTAGTAAAGCTTGATATGGGCTTCAGAAAGCATTTTAGGGGTTATGGGTTTAAAAAGTTGAGGAATAGTAAAGATTAAAATTGATCAATGTCATTAGGCCTTTGAAAATTAGATATGACGTTTGAACCTTGAGGTTACACAGCAGTTCTTCAGCCTCAGTACGTATGGATTCAATTCAGTATGACTTTGGAATTTTAGGAACAAAATTGTTGATCAGTTTTCAGATTTCATGTAGAGACTTCAGCTTCCTACTCACAGTGCTAGGACAGTAAATGAGTATTTTCAGCTCCTGTCTCTATTCTGATGTTGTCTCGTTGATATTGGACAGAATACCACCTCCATCACCACCTACCTGGTTATTGTTGTTTTTGGGGAGGGCATAATTGTTTATCCTCAGCCCAAACCACACTTAGATTTCTTAGGAATACATGGGCCTTTTTTATATAGTGCATTTAGAGTCTCTTAAGACAGGAGGTGTGTGTTAGAGTCTTGATGTTGAGCTCATGCTCCAGGGCTGGTTGGGTGGGTTTTAAACCAGCAGAGTAACCTAGATCCCTTTCTTCTCTCTCCAGGCTGGCTACTACTGAAGAATGATCCTGTTCAACCTCCTAGTTGCCTCTACTGAATTGTTCCTCTATTAAATAGTTAATGAACCAGTCATTTTAAAACCTACCAAAATAGTAAGAAAATATACCATATCAAACCTAAAATACACCATAATCAAACCTAAAAATCATTGCCACTCAGCATGGCCAGAGAAGCGGTGCGTTGGTGCATGCCCGGGATCTGAGCCGGGGCCGCCAACAGCGGAGCGCGCACTTAACCGCTAAGCCACGGGGCCGGCCCTATAGCTATTGGTGTTGAAAGGACTGTGGCAGTGGAGGCCAGACTGCCCTCGGCTTGTGATGGTGGTGTGTGGCCTAAGTCAGCATGGAGCCTGAAAGTGCTCACCAGTCCCAGGCCTCAGAGGAAAGCATCCTCACCTTTGGATCAGCTTCGAGTTAGTCCTGAGGCTGTGTGGCCAACCAGTCTGGGTTTTGCTGCCCTTGTTTACAGCATATCACTACTGTAAGAGCAAGTGTTTCTCAAGGTCTGGGTTAAGTGAAAATGCTGATGGACTGAAAGGATTGGAGGAAAGGCAGTGAAGGGTCTGTGGGCAGTCACCATTCCCTCGTCCAGATTTCACAGCACCTGTATCTGCAGGGGCCGTGTCGGGCAGGGAGCTGATGGGAGTCGCAGTAAACTGGGCTGTCCGGACAGGGCCGGCTGGGCCCCTTTTCAGAGCTTCACAAAGGCTTTGTGCACAGATCTGGGCAGCAGACTCTGCCTAGGAAGTACATAATTTTTAATGTGACAGTGGTTTTGCTGTTTTGTTTTGGTTTGAGATCTCCAGTTTGAAGCCATTTACATTATTGAATAATAGTAGCGATCCCAGGATTCTCACTCTCCCAGTCGGCTGATGTCTTCTAAAGAGCAGTCCAGGTCAAAGAAGAGAAAGCCGATGTGACCGTGGCAGAACTGTCAGTCTGCACAATTCAGACCCCTCATGTCACACGGAGTACTGGCCGAAGGCCTTTTTGTGAGGAGTGATCCAAAGTGTCCACCTGCACTGGATCCCATTGGTGCTTCTGTAGGGTGGGCCCGTGTGTGGGTGTGTGGTGGGATGGCCACTCTTGGCTTCCTTTCTGTCTCCAAGGTGCTTTGCTAGTGCCTGGTGGTGAGGACGCTGATGATGAGCCCCGCTGTCAGCGTGGCTGACACTGCCCCCAGAGCAGCCCCACGGCGAATGGCCAGCTGTTTCACTGACAGGCTGCTCGCAGGAGCTGAAAGGGTATGAGCTGCTTCCGGAGTCCTGAAGAGGTCTAAATGGCACCCAGGCCTTGAGTACGTTGTCAGGGTAATGCCAGGGGAGCTGCCCGTAGCCACTGCAGAAGCAAACAGGAGCAAACTCAGCTGTGCTGGGGGCTGGGGTGGGAAGAGCTTTGGCCTTGGAATCAGGAGGCCTAGCTGCATTTGTTACACTGTGTGCCTGGTTCATTGACCTCTGCACCTTACAATAGAAAATGCCCATACAATTGAAACGTGCCGGCCTTATCTACTCCATAGCAGGACCAGAGGAGGGAATTATGTGGGAAAGCATCGTAGACTGTGAATTTGATGTATAGATAAAGCTACTACTAAGGTGAGATGAGGCATGTACCTTTCGGACCCTGTCCTTGGGATGACATATGACATCAGATGTACCTTTCAGTAGGCCTTCAGAGCACATATTAAATGCTCAGTCAATCGTGCCTTACCGGATTCCCTCGAGAATTGAAGCTCCCAGAGTTTTAGTCACCTGGCTCACTGCAGCATCAGTCAGGCATAGCCCAGGACAAGGTGAGATCACTGAGATAACTAAGGGCCTGCACTCAGCACCAAGCCGGGGCAAGAGGCATCTGAGCTGAGGCCATCACTTCATCATATAAACATTGGGTATAAATCAGAGGTGCCTGTCTGATGGGGTGCAGAGAGGTAGACAGGGCAAGTGCCCCCACCCCAGTTGGTCAAGCCAAGCTGACCTGCCCAGAGTGACAGCTCTAGACCAGACCTAAACTGTCAACCTTGCTTCCTCATCTGAGAATGGGATACGGCTGACTGCCTCACAAGGCTAAGGATGTGAAGTACTTAGTGCAGGCCTCTTAAATAATGGATACTAGTGTTGACTTCCTGGCATGTAGAATATTTTCATGCTGAGAGGAAGAAAGGTAGCTTGGGCTTGCATGGTTCTGAATTGCATAGACACACAGGGCAGCCAGGAGCCATGTGCCACTGGCATTTGTGTGTGTACCCAGCAGAAGCACCCTGACAGCATCACCTGAAGATACAACAGCTTCTTCAGGCCCAAGTCTGGGGGCTGTGCCCGCAGTGTTCTCCGTGCTCTCAGCGCTCTGCTGCTGCTGCACCCCGGCGTGTTTTTGAGCCTAAAAGAGAGAGAGCTCGCCTGGTCAGCCCCCCAACCCTCTCGTTCACCACTGGCTCCATCTATGCCCAGCCTTTAAAACATTGCAAGCTATATGGACAGCTAATCTTCACAAAAGAGCTAAGAACATACAATGGAGAAAGGAAAGTCTCTTCAATAAATGGTGCTGGGAAAACTGGACAGACACATGCAAAAGAATGAAAGTAGACCATCTGCTTCCACCATACACAAAAATTAACTCAAAATGGATCAAAGACTTGAAGGTAAGATGTGAAACTATAAAACGCCTAGAAGGAAATATAGGCAGAACACTAACATTGGTCATAGAGGGATCTTTTCAAATTCCATGTCTACTTGGACAAGGGAAACAAAAAATCAACAAGTGGGACTTCATCAAACTAAAGAGCTTCTGCAAGGCAAAGGAAACCAGGATCAAAATGAAAAGACAACCCACAGCTGGGAGAAAATATTTGAAATCATATATCTGACAAGGGGTTAATCTCCATAATATTTATACGAAGAACTAACACAACTGAACAACAAAACAACCTGATCAAAAAATGGGCAGAGGATATGAACAGACATTTTTCCAAGGAAGATATACAGATGGCCAATAGACACATGGAAAGATGTTCAGCATCACTAATCATCAGGGAAATGCAAATCAAAACTATACTAGGCTATCACCTTACACCCGTTAGAATGGCTAAAATCACCAAGACAAAAAACCACAAATGTTGGAGAGGCTGTGGAGAAAAGGGAACCCTCATTCACTGCTGGCAGGAATGCAAACTGGTGCAGCCTCTATGGAAAACAGTATGGAGATTTGTCAAAAAATTAAAAATAGAAATACCTTATGATCCAGCTGTCCCACTTCTGGGTATTTATCCAAAGAACTTGAAATCAACAATCCAAAGAGGCTTATGCCTCTTTGTTCATTGCAGCATTATTCACTATAGCCAAGAAGTGGAAGCAACCCAAGTGTCCCTTGACTGATGATTGGATAAAGAAGATGTGATATATATACACAATGGAATACTACTCAGCCATTAAAAAAGACGAAATCATCCCAGTTACAACAACATGGATGGACCTGGAGGGTATTATGTTAAGTAAAATAGCCCAGACAGAGAAAGACAAACACTGCACGATTTCACTCATAAGTGGAAGATAAACTAACACGGACAGAGAGAACAGTTTGGTGGTTACCAGGGGGAAGGGGGCTGGGGCTGGGCACAGGGGGTGAAGGGACGCATTTATATGGTGACTGACATAATATACAACTGAAATCTCACAGTTATAAACTTATGACATCAATTAAAAAAATATGTTATTAAAAGGTAAAAAAGAAACATTGCAAGCTGAAGCAGAACATATTCATAGTTTTGGGGGAGCTTTAAAGTGGTGGTGTTTTAAATGTATATTTATCCATTTTAGATGTTAAGATGACCTGATCCACGCATGAAGGCAAAACCATACCCTGCTAGGATTCGGCTCTTTGACAGAACATTCCCCTCTGTGCTCTGCCTTCAGACTGAGCTGTGCCTTTGCAGGCTGCCGTGTTTCAAGCGTTCGTCCAAGAGGATGGTGGACAGAGGGATGGTTTTCTCTCTTCCAGAGTCACGCCACGCTCTTGGGGCCTCATCTGGGTTTAGACTGGTGGGACTGAGCTCTTTGCTTTTGTTCAGTTTTCAGCCGTTGGGGCTGGCTAAGGAAGGTTTCGGTGTGTTTCTCTGCTGCTTATACTGGCACTGTCTGGCCCAATGACAGTGACAGGAGCAGATGTGGAGGCTGAGGTGGCCCCTCTGTGACTCCTTACCCCCGGCTTATACCATGGATCACTGCTGCTGAGGCCATCCCTGGGCATTTCTGGGGAGCAGTTGCTCCAGGCCAGGGGCTGCTGACTCACCTCCTCTGCAGCCAGCTTCCAGTCCATCCGGGCAGTATAGATGACCAAGGCAGCAGCTGTCAGGAGGACACAGGCCAGCATGCCCAGCCAGAGGCCTGCAGGAGACAAATGACAATGGGGGAGAGTGTCCAAGGACCACCCAGGCCTCTCCCGACTTGTCCTCACACACATACCCATGATTCTCATTCTGACCACAAAGGTCAGAATGATGCCCAGCGGGAGGCCGACAACGTAATTCATGACCGCGTTCACAATGGCTCCGAAGGCCTGCTTGCCGGTTCCTCTCAGGACTCCACCATAGGCACACTGGGAGGCAGGAAGAGGCGAGAGGTCACTAATTAGGAGATTGAGGGCAGCTCTCATGCAACGGGCACTTTTCTAAGCAGTTTACATTGCACGGCCTCATTTAACTCTCTCAACCCTGGGACGAGTGTTCTTATCCCCCTTTCTTCCGTGAGGAGGCCGAGTCAGAGAGGTCAAGTCACTTGCCCAGTGTTACACAAAAGTAGCTATGTTTTGAACACAACTCCAGAGCCCCATCTTCACCTCCTGTCTATCATTGCCTCACTAGAAAGTACAGGTAAGACAGGTGACCAAAACCAGCTGATCTGGGACATTGGACTAACTTCATAGGGAGATGTGCTGTGCTGGTTTCCTATTGCTGCTGTAGCAAATTACCGCCAACTTGGTAGCTTAAAACAAGACACGTTTATTATTTTATAGTTCTGGAGATTAGAAGTCCAAAATGGGTCTCATTGCACTAAAGTCAGGGCTGGTTCCTTTTGGAGGCCCCCGGGGAGAATCGTTCTTTGCCTTTTCCGGCCGCGGGAGGCTGCCTGCATTCCTTGGCTCGTGGCCCCCAGGTAGCAATGGCGTCACTCCAACCTCTGCTTCTGTCGTCACGTCTTCTCTGACTCCTGCCTCTCTGTCTCACGTATCAGGACCCTTGTGATTACACTGGGCCATCTGGGTAATCTCCCCATCTCATCCCATCTGCAAAGTCCCTTTTGCCATATAACATTCACAGATCTGGGGTTTAGAACATGGGTATCTTTAGGGACCATTATTTGCCTACTACACGTGGCGAGTGAAGGTGTCATCTTGTTCCCTACGAGACAGGCAGCCCTTGCCCGCTGCTGTCACTGTAATTCTCACAGATGAGAATTGTTCTGGAGAATGTGTACTCTGCTTTCTTTTACTAGTCTCATCCTCCCAATGTGATCCCAGATCTAATGAACTAAAGAATTACGGGCACAGCTCACGCTCAGTCAGCACAATCTATCAATAGATATTTGGTTATTCTATTTTGTTAATATGAGGGATGTGGAGTATTTTGTGGTTTGCTTTTACACATTTGAGCAAAGAGGTAATGCATTGGGGATAGGAGATGTGTGCCTCTTGAACTTTGAAATGTGGTGTGCACATTTCTCATTATTATATATCATGACAGAATATGATCTTTTTTGGCTAAAAAAGACTTCCCAAATTATGCTTGATGTGCTCTGGACCAGTACTTCTCAACCCAGGGGTGGTTTTGCCCTCCAGGGGACATTCAGCAATGTCTGGAGACAGTTTTATGTTGTCACAACTGGGGAATTCTGCTGGCATCTAGTGGGTAGAATCCAGCGATGCTGCTAAACATCCTACAAGGCACAAGACAGCCCCCGCAGCAAAGAATTTTCCATCCTAAAAGGTCAGTAGTGCTGAGGTTGAGAAGCCCTGATTTAGAGCATTGGGAATTAAAGTGGCAATTTCAGTGGCAGGCACACAGGAAGGGCCAGTGGCTCTGCTAGCCTGAGGTTGTGGATAGACCAGCGGACTAGACAGAGATTTAACAGGGAGCTCCATGAGATGAAACAGCTGGGGGAGGGGGGTGCTCGATAAGTTCTCCATGCATCCCAGGTTGACCAGAGGCTGTGCGCACATGTAGCAGAGACCAGAGCAGGCCCAAGCCTCCTACACATCCTGGACAGTGAAGCCTATGCACACGGGCAGAAAAGATACAAGAGGACCCAGAAGAAAGTAAAAGTTGGGGCAGCCTTGAAAACAGCCTGTACTTCAAATGAGCTCCAAGCCTACACTCAGAACTTTCAGCAGAGAATGGAAGACTTACCAGCCGTCAGAAGAGTTTGAACACGACACAACTTACAAAGAAAGAATTGGCTGAACACTGAGCTATGCAGACATAGGGGTGACCCGTAGGAAGCTAAGCTTAAAAATAAAAATAAGAAAAAATAAATAAACTGAGCAGAGAGATCAGCAGCTAGAGGTTGTGCAGGAGGCAGGACTCACAGAATTAGTCCAGGCAGATTACTAAACAAAAAAAACAATCCTTGGGGAAAGGTTAAATGCAACATTCTCTGGGATAGATCTATGTTAGGCCACAAAACAAGTCTCAATACATTTAAAAAGATTTAATTCATACAAAATATGTTCGCTGACCACAACAGAATTAAATAGAGAAGCCTATCAGAAAGAAATCTGGGAACATCCCAAATATTTGGAAATTAAACAACCACATTTCTAAATCCATGGGTCAAAGAATATATCAGAAGAGAAATTTTAAAATCTTTTGACCTGAATGAAAAGTAAAACAACATATCAAAATTTATTAGGTCCAGTACTTAGAGGGAAATGTATTGCTTTAAATGCCTAGATCAGAAAAAAAGGTCTCAAATCAATAACCTAATACTCTACTCCAGGAAACTAGTAAAGAGAGCAAACTATACCTAAATAAAGCAGAAAGATAGGAATAATAAAGATTAGAGCGGAAGTCATTGAAATAGACAACAGACGAACAACAGAGAAAATCAATGAAACCAAAAATTCTAGTTCTTTGATAAGATTCACAAAATTGACACACACCAATGATTTGACCTTGGTAAATAAGACCAAGAAAATAGAAAAGTGAAAATACAAATTACCAAAATCAGGAATGAAAGAAGGGACATTACTACTGACCATAAAGAAAAGGATTACAAGGCAATGTTGTGAGCAACTTCATGCCAAAGAATTAGACAATTTATTTGAAGTGAATACATTCCTAGAAAGACACAAATTACTAAAACTAATCAATAAAAAATAGAAAGTGAATAGACCTGTAACAAGTAAATAAATTGAACTAATTTAAAATCTGACAAAAGCCCAGACCCAGATGGCTTCACTGGTGAATTCTATCAAATATTTAAAGAAGAAATAATGCCAATCCTTTACAAACTCTTTCAGAAAGTATGGGAGGAGAGAACACTTTCAAATTCATTCTATGAGGCCAATGTTACCCTAGTACCAAAGTCAGATCAAACTATCACAAGGAAAAGTAAAAATTACAAATATTCCTCATGAATGTAGATACAAAATCTTTAACAAAATATTAGCGAACCAAATTCAGCAATATATAGAAAAGATATACACCATGATCAGAAGGGGTTTATCCCAGGAATGCAAAGTATAACATCTGAAAATCAATGAATGTAATTATACCATATTAATAGAATAAAGGACAAAAATCACGTAATTACCTCATTAGATGCAGAAAAAGCATTCTACAAAATCCAACACCTATTCATGAGTGAATATTTCATCAAACTAGGAGTAGAAGGGCCTTTCCTCAACCTGATAAAGGGCATTTATAAAAATCTTACAGATAACATATTTAATGCTGAAAGACTGAATACTTTCCCCTAAAGTTGGGACAAGGCATAGATGTATGCTCTTTCCACTTCTGTTCAACATTGTACTGGAGGTTCTAGCCAGATGAAAGGGAGAAGTAAAACTCTTTATTCACAGATGACAGGACCCTATATGTAGAAAATCTTAAGGAATCCACACCCAGAAAAACTATTAAAATGAGCTTAACAAGGTCACAGGATAAAAGATCAATAAACAAAGATCAATTATATTCGTAAAAACTAGCAATGAACAGTCTAAAAATGAAAATAAGAAAACAGTTCCATTCACAATAGCATCAAAAAGAACAAAATATTTCGGGATAAATTTAACAAAATAAGTGCGAGATTTGTCCATCGAAGGCTACAAAATATTGCTGAGATAAATTAAAGAAGATCGAAATAATTGGAGAGAGATTTTGTGTCCATGGATTGGAGGTCTCAATATTGTTAAGATGATGATTCTCCCCAAATTGCTCTCTAGATTCAACACAATTCCTTTCAAAATCCCAGCAGGCTTTTTGATAGAAATTAATAAACTGATTCTAAAATACATATGGAAATGCAAAGAATCTAGAAGACCCAAAGCAACTTTGGAAAAAAAAAAGAGAACAAAGTTGGAAGATTCATACTAACTGATTTCGAAACTCACTATAAAATAGCTACAGTAATTAAGACAATGTAGTATTGGCATAGAGTAGGCATATAAATTGATGGAACAGAATTGTGAATCCAGAAATAAAGCACTAAATTTATGATCAATTGATTTTTTACAGAGGTGCCAAGAAAATTCACTGAGGAGAAGATAGCCTTTCACACACCAACAAATGGTGCTGGCAAAAAAAAAAAATTAACTTAGGCCCTTACCTCATACCATACATAAAAATTAATTCAAGATGAATCATAAACCTTAGCGTAAAAGCTAAAACTATAAAACTTCTAGAAGAAAACATAGGCGAAAATCTTTATGACCTTAGGTTAGGCAAAGAGTTCTTATATATGACAGCAAAAGCATGAACCATAACAGAAAAGAAATTGAGAAATTGGACTACATTAAAAGTGCAAATTTTTGCAGCTCAAAAGATACCAATAAGAAAATGAAAGATAAGCCACAGGCTGGGCTTGCAAATCATATACCTGATAAAGGACTTGTATGTAGAACATATAAAGAATTCTTACAACTCAGCAACAAGAAGACAAGTGTTAGGGGTTGAATTGTGTCTTCCAAAAAGATGTTGAAGTCCCAACCCCCAGTACCTGTGAATGTGACTTTAATTGGAAATAGAGTCTTTGCAGAGGATCAAGTTGAGATGAGATCATTAGGGTGGGCCCTAACCAATATGACTGGTGTCCTTATAAAAAGGGGAAATCTGCACACATAGATATGCACAGAGGGAGGATGATGTGAAGAGACACAAGGAGAAGATGGCTATCTATGAGCTAAGGAGCTCCTGAGGCTGCCAGAAGCTAGGACAGAAGCCTGGGACAGATCTTTCCCTGGTGCCTTTAGAGGAAGACTGGTCCTGCCAACACCTTAATTTAGGACTTCTGGTCTCCAGAACTGTGAGACAATAAATTTCTGTTATTTTAAGCCACTCAGTTTTTGATACTTGTTACAGCAGCCCTAGCAAGCTAATACAACAAGCAACTCAATTTTTCAAATGAGCAAAAGACTAGAATGGACATTTCACTGAAGACACACAAATGGATAATAAGCACACAAAAAGGGGCTCAACATTAGTCACTAGTCATTAGAGAAATGCATATTAAAACCACAATGAGATACGAGTACAGACACACTGAGATGGCTGTAATAAAAATGAGAAACAATCCCAGAGAGTTATTTTGTGGATATTGACAAACTGATTCTAAAGTTTATGTGGAAAGGCAAAAGACCCCAAATAGCCAACACAATATTGAAGGAGAACAATGTGGGAGGACTGACACTACCCAACTTCAAGACAACAGTAAAGCTACAGTAGTCAAGCCAGTGTGGTATTGATGAAAGAAAAGACACAGAGATCAGTGGAATGGAATACAGAGCTTGGATATAAACCCACACAAATAGTCAACTGATCTTTGACAAAGGAGCAAAGGCATTTCAATGGAGAAAGAAGAGTTTCTTTTCTAGAAATGGTGCTGGAACAATGGGACATCCATATGCAAAAAAAAATAAATCTAGACATAGATCTTACACCTTTCACAAAAAGTAAAATGGATCATATACCTAAATGCAAAATGGTAAAACTGCCAGAAGATATTATAGGAGAAAATCTAAATGACCTTGGGTTTGGTGATGACTTTTTAGATGTGATACCAAAAACACAATCCATGAAAGAAAAAAATTGATAATTTGGACTTCATTAAAATTAAAAACATCTGCTCTGTGAAAGACACTGTTAAAAAAATGAAAAGACAAGCCACAGACTGGGAGAAAATCTTTGCAAAACACATATCTGATAAAGGAGTGGTATCCAAAATATACAAAAATTCTTAAATAAGAGAATAAGAAAACAAACCAATTTTAAAATGGGCAAAAGACACCTCACCAAAGAAGGTAAACTGACGGCAAATAAGCAATATGAAAGACACTCCACATTATATGTCCTCAGGGAAGTGCAAATTAAAACAACAATGAGGGCCCGCCCCGTGGCTTAGCAGTTAAGTGCCCACGCTCCGCTGCTGGCGGCCCGGGTTCGGATCCTGGGCGTGCACCGACGCACCGCTTCTCCGGCCACGCTGAGGCCACGTCCCACATACAGCAACTAGAAGGACGTGCAGCTATGACATACAACTATCTACTGGGGCTTTGGGGGAAAAAAATAAATAAATAAAATTATCTAAAAAAAAAACAATGAGATACCACCATACCGACTATTAGAAAGGCTAAAATCCAAAACACTGACGACACCAAATGCTGGTGAGAATGTGGAGCAACAGGAACTCTCATTCACTGCTGATGGGAATGCAGAATGGTGCACCCACTTTGGAAAATAGCTGGGCACTTTCTTACAAAGCTAAACATAGTATCACCATACTATTCGACAATCATGCTACCAGGTATTTACAGAAAGAGTTGAAAACTATGTCCACACAAAAACCTGCACAAGAATGTTTATAGCTTTATTCGTAATTGCCAAAACTTGGAAGCAACCAAGATATCCTTTAACAGATGAATGGACAAACTGTGATATATCTAGATTTAGCACTCTTGACAAAGGAGCGAAGGCAATTCAATGGAGAAAGGATAGTTTTTCTCTAGAAATGGTGCTGGGACAACTGGACATCCACATGCAAAAAAATAAATCTAGACATAGATCTTACACCTTTCACAAAAAGTAAAATGGATCATATACCTTAGTGCTAAAAAGAAATGAGCTACCAAGCCATGAAAAGACATGGAGGAACCTTAAATGCATATTACTAAGTGAAAGAAACCAATCTGAAAAGTCTATATTGTATAATTCCATCTATAAGATATCTGGGGAAGGCAAAACTATATAGAGACAATAAAAAGATCAGTGATTTCCAGGGGTTAGAGGATGGGGGATACTGGGAGAAGGGAAGAAATGAATAGGTGGCACTCAGAGGATTTTTATGGCAGTGAAATTATTCGTATGATACTATAATGGTGGATATGAGTCACAATACATTTCTCAAAACGCATAGAATGTACAACACCAAGAGTGAACCCTAATGTGAAGTATGGTCTTTAGTTAATAATGTATCAATATTCTCTCATCAATTTAGCAAATATACTTACTAATACAAGATGTAAATAATAGGGGAAACTGAGAGGAGGGAGGGGGTTTATGGGAACTCTCTGTATTTTCTGCTCAATTTTTCTGTAAACCTAAACTGCTCTTAAAAATAAAATCTTTTTGTTTAAAGACAATACCAAGCATTGGCAAGCAAGTAGAGAAACTGGAATCCTCATACACTGCTGGTGGGAATGTAAAATGGTACAGCCACTTTGGAAAACAGTTTGGCAGTTTCTTAAAAACTTAAACATAAACTTATCATTTGACCCAACAATTCAACAACTAGGAGTCTACCAAGAGAAATGAAAACATATACCCACACAAAGAATCGTATGTGAATGTTCCCAGCAGGCTTAACATAACAGCCCAAACCAGAAACAACCCAAATGTACATCAGCTCGTGAATGGATAAACAAAATGGATTGTATCCACACTATGGACTATTATTTGGCCATAAAAAGGAATGGAGTCCTGTAAAATGCTACAATATGGATGAACCTCAAAAACATTATGCTAAGTGAGATAAGCCAGTAACAAAAGACTACATATCGTATGATTCCGTTTCTATGAAATGTTCAGAAAAGGCAAAGTCAACAAAGACAGAAAGCAAATCACTGGGTGGCCTGGGGCTGGTCATGGGAGCAGGGATTGACTGCAAAAGAGGCTCCAGGAAATTCTGGGGGTGATGGAAATATTCTAAAACCGGATTGCAGTGATGGTGGCACAACTCTAAATTTATTCAAAATAATTGAATTATGCACTTAAAATGGGTGAATTTTATGGTATGTAAATGATAACTCAATAAAAGTGTAAAAAATACAAAATAAAAATGGGAAACATAAATTAAGAATAATATAAATATTGCCAGGAGGAAAGATGATAGAATGCAGAACACAAGCTAGAAGACCCCTTACAATCACGAGCTGTGTGTTTGCTTCCAAGTCCTTGACAGAGAAGGGCTGCCCACTGGAGGGGCGGCATGCTTAATTCAGTGAGAAATGCAAAGCTGTTCCCAACCTTTAATTGCAAGAATTGCTCAGTTGTGGCCTCACCTCACAGCTAGAGAAAAGATATGAATAGTGTCCTTAACAATATCCTATGACAAAAGCAATAATAGATTCCATAAGATAGTTTCTTTTACTGTTCCCTGACAAAAGCTGTGGATGTGATGACAAAATGCAGTCCAGAGAAAGCTGCTCTGCTGAGGCTAAGAACCTGTGTTCCAAGTATGTTGCTATCTGAATGCCCGGGTGGATTCAAAGGCAAATCCTAGAATATGCAGTGAACTGGAGAGAGTGCACTGAGTCTTTTGGAGAAATCCTCCATAAATATAATTTCTCTCAATGGGTTATTTTTTTTTTATAAGAGTTGATGATATTTATCATACAGGTGTTTTTCCCCAGGCCAGGCACAGCCCAGAGTGCAAGTGTTCCAAGCCGCTGGCTAGCACACACTCCTCTGCAGAGCTGTTAGATTTTACGCTAGGGATGCTTTCCTGAAGAGCTCACATAAGTCAAGATGTAAAGTAGAAGACACAGGATTTCAAATTCTGCTTTTAAAACAACTTCAGTGCCTTTTTTTATGTCATGCTTTTAAAAATTCACGTAATTCCAATCTGCACTAAATGGGACCTGTCCTTTAGTAATCAAAGGAGCAGAAAACTCTGTATTCTGAGTTGACTCACTTCTCAGAAATGTCTCTTTGCTTTGGCAACCGGGTGGGTTTGCTGTTGAGTCCCTGACCGGTTGAGAGCATGGGTCAGTGCCCAGGACCCCAGATCCTGAGGAATAAGGAAGGAAAAGATTTGTGAGTTTACACTGGGGCAATTTTTCAGTGTTTTGCTAATCTGCATTCATCCTTTGCATTGTTGGAATTGCAGAAGAGAAGGAGAGTCATTGCTTTGAATAATAATAGAACTAATATGAGCAAATACATTGGGCACTAACTAAACAGTTAGCCCTTTACATGTATTTATGAGTTAATCCTCACAGCCCTATGAGGCCTCAGGGAGGGCTCATGGATATGGGAGGAGTCAGACTACAGATCAGCACAGTACTCACACAGATGGCCTCAAATAGATGAAAGACGATATAAATCGGCAAGACCTCGTTCACCAGGGCAATGACTTCTCTGCAGAGGAGACAGGAAAGAACGTTCATTTGGAGCACTAAGACATGACTATTCTTGGAGACGCACTCATATTCCTCTATTCCGCCTCATCCCCCAAATTTTTGGATAGAGGTAGTTACCCACGCAAGTGCAACAGACACTCCTAGCCCTGAGTTTCTATATATCTACAGGCCGCATCTTAAACCCTAGAAGAGCCCCACAATTTTGAACTGCCCTTCGATTAGCATCTTGTCTATTGAAAAGCAAGTGGTGGAGGCCACGGCCCAAGTGGACAAGCACAGATGCTGGCTTCCTCCCGGCAAGAGCAGAGTCGGGGCTAGTCCTGCTCTCTTTGGATCCAGCACCAAGCCAGGCACATGGCAAGTCTCTGAGGACCATCTGCGAACCACTCTGACATTGCCCAGAAGTGACTGAAGAAAACTGATTACCTACTCATCATTGGTAAAAATACGCCCCAATTTATTTTTCACGATGCTCAACAGGGTGCCCACAACCAGCCAGGTGCCAACTGGAAGAGAGAAAAGGAACGGCATTTGACTGACCCCAACCCGTGGAGGAGCTAGCTCAAGTCAGTGTAAGTCAGCCCAGCCGTCCACACCCAGGATCTTGAAGTCCCCTGCATTAGAGTCATTCACTGGGACTAAGGCAGTCTTTTGCAGTCCCGTAGGAAGGACGACATATAAAATGCCTTTCCTCCTGTGGTTCTCAAAGTGGGGTTCCTGGACCAGCAGCATCAGCATCATCTGGTAACTTGTTAGAAATGCAGATTCTTAGACCCACTATCTCCAACGTACTGAATCAAAAACTCTGCTGGGTGAGGCCCAGCAATCTGAGCTTTGATGTAGCCCTCCAGGGGATTTCAAAGCGGTCTGAAGCCTGAGAGCCACTGCTCTCCACAGAGAGCTGATGTGAATCTCAGAAAGCAGAGGCATGATGGAGGACACAAGGCTGGTTCCTTCTGAGGGGCAGGATGGGCAAGTGCCAAGCTCCTGGGGATGCTGCAAGGGCAGGCCTGCAGAAGGACACTGGGTGGCTGAAGGAAGAAGCCTGGGGAGGAAGGGCCTTCACAGGGTCATATTAAGGTGAGTGCTGGAAACTGACAAGCTGTCTTCAGGAGAGCCCAAGGACCCCGCAGCAGGGAAGGAGTGAGGAAGGAGCACAGCAGGCAAGAGAGATGTTTGCTGCTCAGGGGCGGCCGTCAACTTGTCAGCAGGGGCTGCTCTGGGCCAGATGACAGGAAGAGCGGGTTTGGAAGGTAAATGCCTCGGCTCCCAAGGCCAGCCCTGACTCCAACGTGCCAGGCCCTCCCCTGGGCTATGCCTTGACTTTATAACTTCCCAAGTTCGCCCAGGAGAGGACTCTGCCCACCTGTGCAGAGAACACCTGAGATGGCCGATCGCTTAGCTTGCATGGTATCTGCAGCTCCCAGGGCCGTCCCCACTCGGACACAGACTGCCATGCCGAGTCCCATGGGAATCTGGGGTCAGAGATAAGAAGGTGCGGTCAGTGGAGCCATCCTCCTGCTCCTGGGATTGGGTGGGTCCAGAGCGAGGAAGAGGCCTGGGCTAGAGGTGGAGCAGCCCTCCAGCTTTGGCCAAGAGGCAGGAGAGCAGGCAGGCAGGATGGATCCCAGGGGGCGGCGTGAGGAGACAGGGCACACATGGCTGCTGATGACAGGCAGTAAAATCTCAGGTTGGGAGATGGGGTGAAGGTACCCCAACTGAGCTAGCCAATCCACCCCCACCTGCTCCAAACATCGCAGGCAGATTGGCCTTGTGGCCAAAATCAGTGTGCTGCCAAAAACTCATGAGTAAATGCATTTTAAAGAGATGAATGTGGTCTTAAGTATGCCAGAAAAGCTCCCTGTAAGAAAAAACAAAAATTCTGTGGAAACCATTTGTAAAAATAAGAATCACCTTATAAATTGGTTTTGTAAATATAGATTTTGGTGAATCCCTTGCTTAAAGCTGGGGTCACAGACTGCTTGTCCCAGGAGGCTGGCAGGTGTGTACGTGAGTGACAGGGAACAACTCATGTCTCTGTGGGGAGAGGAGAGGAAACGCCCCCACAGCGTCTGCTGTCACCCAGTGCTCACCTGAGTGTGCAGGAATGCAGGCACTGCTAAATGGAATGTCCCATTTTTCAAGAAAATCCAAATTGTGATGTGAAATCTCCCAATTTTAAATGGTGCTAATTAGTTCAAAAAAATTCTAACATCATGTAAGTTCAATATTACCCTTGGTAGAGCGGCTGTGGGCTACTTGTGTGTGAGTCTGGCGGGGTCTGGACCTGATGGGCATGGGAGGTCTGGGAGGGTCCCTCAGGAGACAGAGATGGCCTTTGGGGTGACAGCCAGCCCCTCCTCCTATGACACCCCCAGGCCATTCGGGGAGCTGGCCTGGGCTGGGGGTTGTGGCGAAGGTGCCCCCGGAGGAGCCTCACCATGTAGACTACAGTGGCCACCTCGTAGATCACGGCCTGGGCAGAGAGGTCCAGCACGCTGAGCAGGCCTGTGGGAGAGGCACACAGTGAGCGCCCGGCCCTAGGGCCAGCTAACAGACCCTGGGCTGACAGACGCCCCTCTGCTTTGGAGGCCAAGGTGGATATGACTTCAAAGGGCAGATGTGCAACAAAAAATGTTCCCACTTGGCCGTGGCCTTCAGCCTTCCAGGAAAATCCTGCCCAGTTGTTATGGAACTTCCTGAAGGCTGTTCCCCTGTATGGTTTGTCTTTCAAGACAAACTCCTCTGTGTATGTGGCATGTGGCATGGTGAGGAAGGGAAAAAACTGGACCAGGGCCAGGAAACTGAGTTCAAGTCTCAGCCCTGCCAGTGTGTGACTGCATGACTCTGGACAGTCTCTCTTGTTCCTGGGGCTCGGTTTTCTCCTCTGTAAATGGGGGCAGGGGGTGGACTAGAAGGTCTCTTGGGCCTTTCCAGTCCTGGCCTTCTGATCCTCAGGCCGTTTGGACTCTGTGCTGAGTGCCCTGATGAGCACACATTGCGCCAGGTGAGAGCCCCACACCTGCCAAGCCTGCCCATGCTCATGCCCCAGGTCATTCAGTTTCTCACTCCGTCCTTGACTGGGCGACCTCCCCTGCAGTGCCCACTCAGTGCCAGGCCCATGCTGGGCAGTGCTGGGATCCCAACACGAAAGGCCCAGGTCTGCCTTCTGGGAGCTCACAGTCTGGTGGGGAGACTGGCAACCAACAGATCCAGCCTGGGCGGGGCTGGTGAACTACCCATCCCCGGGAGGGGGCTTCTGAGCTGGGTGAGCCACCCACACAGTTCCCTACTCCACACTCTTCCACGTACCCATGAGGAAGCTCCCGATCTCGTAGGTCCACCACTCGGTACATATCATGAGCATGCTGGGGATGGCAAGAGAGAGGAAGGGGCCCCAGTCCTGCAGGCACTGGCTGGACCAGCCTAGGAACAGAAGCCCAGAGAGCTGAGCAGCAGCCCACCCTGCATGTCCACCCACTGCTGGGAGCCCCTGACAGGCTTTGGCTCTGCCCACTCCCAGGCTCAGCTCAGCAGCTCCGCGTACTTTGCACAAGACGTACCAGCTGGTCCAGCGCTGGCGGGTGGGAGGAGGATGCAGGGACAGGGCACCAGCTCACCTGACCAGCGCCACAGGGCAGCTTGGGATGGGAGCCTCGGCCACAGGTAGGGTCCCCCACTGGCCCACTCAGGGTCTTGGGCCGCTAACCCTGCCCTTTCTGGGCTCCATTTCCCTATCTGAAAATTTCAGTCCTTATCTTTGCCCTCCTCCCTGAAAGGGTTGTGGGAGGATGGCGTGAGATCAAAGATGCCAAAAGGATTCGTAAGGTAGATAGGGCTGTGCAGATTTGCAGAGGCCGTGCAGGACGCCTCCACCCCGGAACGAGGCTCCAGGGCCTGGAGAGCTCTTTCCGAAATGACTGGAAGAGGAGCCCACAGTCTACAGAGTTAGGTTTCAGGAGGCAGAAAAGCTCGAACCGAGGTCTGGGAGTAAACAGGCGCAGGTTCAAGTCCAGGCCCCTCCATGTACAACCTCTGGCATTTGGGGCAAATTACTTAACCCATCTCTGTCTCAATATCCTCCACTAAATAAAATGGGGATAATAAGGTGTTGTGAAGTTTAATTGAGGTCAGGAATGTCAGGCACTGGGCCCCCTGCTGACACCAGGGCTTTTATCTGTGTTATTACTCTAATCACCATCCTGAGATCAGGAAGCCCAGAGCATCCAGAAAGCTCCCTGGGCCTGTCCCCAGCAGGGCTCCGCACCGTGACACACTGGATGGGGGGATCCCGGCCAGGACTTTGGGATGGGGGTGCTGAGGGATGGAGCACAGGGGAGGGAGGCCCTGAAGGGAAATGGAGGGAGGCCTGAGACAGGGCTCCACCAACAGGGCTCAAACTGGGCCCTCTGCCTGCCAAATGAACGCCCTGAGCCTATGCTGGGGGCCTGCCCACTGCTTGCCTGCTCAGCCCCCAAAGCCAGGGCCTCCGCACCTGCCCACGTCTCCAGGTGCAGCTTCTTCAGCACAATGTAGAGAAAGAGGAAGGTGGTCTGCACGAACTGGGAGATGGTGTTGGCGTAAGCAGAGCCCCTGGGAAAGAGGGAGAGCAGGGCTGGAGCTGATGACTGACTCTGGCCCTGGGGAACAGGGAGCGGCTCCCCTGCTGAAGCCAGCATAGGGAGGAAGGGTGAGACAGGAACCAGCCTAAGAGACAGGGCCACGTGCAAGGCCCCTGGCCTAACAAGATAAGGCCCCTAACCAATCAGCAAGCTAGGGGAATCAGATAGAGACCCCCAAGATCCACATTCCGCAGTTTCAGAACTTTCCTGGGCTTACGCATGCACCCTGGCACCCAGGAGTCCACTGAAGGTGACCCTAGCCCCATTACCACAGTAAAAATCACACCCAGGGGTGGAGAGCTAGCATGCTAATGATACATGCGTCACATGTAGTAGCATGCTACACGACAGCGCAGGCGCAAGCACAACCCCACCTCTACCTGCCGTGACAAGGCCCCTCCCCAGCCTTTGCCTAATAAAAGCCTCACAATCCCCCTCCCTAACAAGCTGTCACCTGCCCCTTTCCTTTCTGCACCAGCTCCCTTGTGCCTCTCTTATGCACAAGCTAATAAACTTTTACTTTCCTACTCCCGTTTGTTGTCTCTCTTGATTTCCATCCTGGGGGACAACAAGAACCCAGGTGCCGGTAACAAGGGGGCACACGTATGGCTTGGCCAGCACTGCTATCCTGGGATCAGCCTCACCCAGGAGCCAGGGGTGCCCCTGGCACCACTACTACAGTGTCCTGGGGGCCTCCCTGCCAGGTCCCCACTCTCAGCCTCTCCTGGTGGGCTGGGGCAGGGGTGAGGAGTGGCTCCTCTCCCTATCTCCTTGGTGGGGAATCCCCCAGAACCCAGGGCACCAACAGGCCCCCCCAATTCCCCAGGACCCCCACTTCTGGACGGCACAGGCAGCCTCCACAGTCCTTGTCATGGGTGAGGAAAGGATGGTGACTGGCCTGCCCTGGTCAGGGGTGGGGTGCTTGGTGGGCAGTGCTTCCCAACTGGGCCCCTGAAGCCCACCAGCCCTGGTGCTCACCTGATGCCCAGGCTCAGCAGGGAAACCAGGATGTAGTTGGCCAAGCAGTTGACGCAGTTGCCCACAACTCCACTGAGGACTTGGGGCCAGATGATCCCCTGAAACAAACAAAAACTGGCCTTGCTAAGGGGCGGGCAGGACCGAGGGGATGTGGATAAGCCCAGGCACGGCTGGGGGTTGGAGAGATGCTGGGGACACACAGCTCCTCGCTGGTGCCTGTGCCAGAGGTCAGGACACGTCTCAGCAGGTGCACAGATGGTGCAGAGGGGAAAAGCCCCAGGCACCCCTTCCCACTGGGACAAGGCAGTGTCCTGGGGGAGGGCGCCACCCCTCTAGCCAGGGACCTGTACCTGATTTTGCAAATATTTTGCCAGCAGGCCATAAAGAAAAGTCACCTGTATAAAATAAAACACACACACACACACACAAATCAACAACAACTACAAAAAAAACACCAGATGAACATTAACAGGTATTTCTTAGATACCTGCGTTTGGGGCAATTACTTCGCCAAAGCATGTCTGGGACCCCGCAGGTGGGGTGAAGCCTGTAGCCACCTGATGCGTGCCCTGGGCCTGCCCAAGGAGGAGAGGGCCCTCAGCCTCCCGCTCTGCCACAGAGGGAGATAAGAAGGCAGGAGGGGCTTGTTGGCTCTCCCAGCCCTGGCCACCAGAGACCAGAATCTGGAGGGAGTGGCCTTGGACTGAGGGACTGGTGGGAACTGAACCGTGCTGGCCACCAGCAGCCTCTGCCAAGTGGGTTCAAGACCCCACAGGGGTGGCGGGCCCTTCGCTGTTTGTGGAGGACAGAGGGGCAGGCGTGTCAGTGTCTGTGTCGGCGGCACTGCCCCTGCTCTTCTGTCCTCTATCAAAGCCTGGACCAGGGCCTGCGCCTTCCTGCCCCATCCCTCCCCTTAGCCCTCTACTTCTCTTCAGGATAACACAGTGATTAAGAGCATGGAGCTGGAACTCCACTGCTGAGTTCAAATGCTGGCTCTGCCTCTTATGAGCTGTGTGATCTTAGGCAAGTTAGTTAACTTCACTGTGTCTCAGTTTCCTCATCTACAATGGGGATAATAGTGTGTGTGTATATAGTAATGTGTGTATACTTAATATTTACGTATATATGCAAAGTTAATATTGTAAAGTGCTTATACAACAGTATTTGGCAAACTTAAGCATTCCAAGTGTCGGGTAAGTATTATTAGTCATTATTATTATCGTTATTTGATGGGTAGTTAAATTTTGCAGCAGCATTTTCTGGGAGGGACTTGCTCTCTTTGACAAAGGAGTTGCCACAGTGATGACTTTATCGGATGTTTTTCCCTGACCCACCCTGAGAGCCCTGTTTGACAAAGTACTGTCACCTTGGTCTGAAGGTCCAAGGATGGTTTCCAGGGAGACTTGGAGGAGAACGACAGCCTTTTCAAGTGGTTTCCATGATACGGAAGAAATCTGGAGCTGGCCAGGCTCCAAGAGGTCATGGCACTGGTCTTCTGGACAGGGGGTGTGGCTGGGGTACACCCTGCCAGGCCGGGGCATGCTTTAAGGCACCCTGCACACACCATGACCCATCACTTCCCAGCTCCCTCCTTAAGAACTTCACCCCCTGGTGCCATGGAGGATGAAGGGTTGCTGCAGTTCCAGAGACCAGAAGAGGAACTCTGGGTGGCAAGGCCATCCTCAATACATGCTGCCAGGTACTGACATGTGTCACAAACCTTCAACATATCCAATAGTGTAGCAGTGAGTTCCAAGCAGACATACAGACCACCGGTCAGTTTAGAAATCTCAGACACTGACCTGAGTAGATACACTGCATATTTAGTATTTAATAAATTAATGGAGAAAGGAGAGAATATTCAACAGTAATATCTTAGGAAAATTTTGTTAGATGGATTAAAGTCTTAAATGTAAAAACAGAAACCATAAAAGGATTCAAAGGAAATATGGCAAATGTTTAGATAATCTTGCAATGGGTTAAGTGTTTTTAGTCTCATCAAAGACAGACATAATAAAGGATAAGATTTATGGATCTGTTACGTATACATTAAAAATTCAAAAAAATTAAAAGGCGAGTGACCAACCAAAAAATGTTTCTGACATGTATGACAAAGGGTTAAGATATTTTTTAACACAAGTTAAATAATTAGAAAAAGATTAACCCACTAAAATAAGTGAAGAGTATGAACAATTCACAGAAGAAAAACAAATGATCAATATATACATGAAAAAATGTTCAACTTCATTAGCAATAAAATGCATGTTAAAACAACTTATTTCTCATTGGAAAAAAATGTTTCATAATAATACTCTGCCTGATGAGAGTGTTGCTAGTAGGGGTAGAATTGGTATGAATTGGTATCAAAAGCCATTGACAGAGCAACTCCAATTCCAAGACACCTTAAGGAAATCATTACAAATGTTCACAAAGATTTTTCTATAAGAATGTTTCTCACAATCTTCTTTATAATAATAACTATTGGAAACAACCTAAGTACCCAACAAATAGGGATTGCGTAATAAATTATGGCACTATGGGATACTACATAGCCTTTGAAATGGATGTTGTAGAAAGCTATTTAATCGTATTGAGAGACTAATGACATATTTGAAAAGGAAAAAGCAGGTTCTAATACAAGATACATTGGCCCCATTTCAAGCTATACATGTATATGTGTGTTTGAACACACACACCCATGTATAGAAATAATCCTGGAAAGAGATATTAACCTATGCTTTCTCTGGGTGGTAGGATTATAGGTGATTTGAAATTTTCCTTACCCGTGCTTTCCACAATTTCTCCAATAAAGGGTTTTCTAATCCGAAAAAAAAATTATGTTACTTCTTAAAAGTTCAACCTGCCCTGACTGGAATGGGAAATTTTCTCCTGCCCCTTCAGCCATCCTCATGGCACAGGGAGAAGTCACTGCCGGCTCATGGGCCTCCCCAGCAGACAGGGGGGAAAGATCAAAAGCCAGAACTTAGGGGCGTGTAAGGCCAGCCCCCTCCGAGCTCGGCAGACAGTGGCACTTACCGGAAGTGCTGGGATGAAAATCAGCACATACTCGTGGGTCAGCCTGCAAGAGAACCAGAGACGCCAGAGCTGACCAGGCCCTGCCCTCCAAGACTGGGGGCTGGCAGCTGCCCAGGGACATCCGGGCACCTCAGGTTTGAGGAGAGGCTTTCCCAGCCCCCACAGATCTCGGCCAAGACAAGTGACAGTCGGGATGCTGCTCCCCCATGCTGGGAAGGTACCCGGAGGAGGGGCCCGGACCAACCACGGGGCCTTGTGACCAGGGAACTTAGATTCAGAGTAACGTGTGGTTTGTAAGGGGAGGAAAAAAAGGTTATATCTTACCAAGAAATAACCAAATGAAGTGCACATAATATAAAAGAAGCAAGGTATTCCCATGAGGGGACATTTCTAAAATTAATAATAAACTGTGTTGTTCAACAGAAATTGGTTTAGTCCTCTTTCTCCTTTTTGGAACATGGGGTAGTGCACACTTCATTTCTTCAAAAGCATCTGTGAAGCTCCAATTATGTGCTGAGACACAAATGCAAATAACACGCAAATCCCTTATTTTCTCCTTTCCTCCTAGATTAAAGCTGGCCATTTGTCTGCCCCACATGGTTACAGCTGGAGAGAGAGGATCCCAAAACCAAACCGTGGAACCATCCCCAGAGGAGCTACACTTGTGACCCAGAGAAGCATGGGGTCTGGGGGGTGGGCTTTCTCAGGGGTTCCCTCCCAGCTTCCCAGCAGGAGCCAAGCAGTACCTGGACACCACCGGGTCCTGCCCGAAGAGCAGCAGGATCTGCTGGGTGTTGAGGAAGAGCGCCCAGCAGGGGAAGCAGCAGAGAAGCAGCAGCAGCGTGCCCCTCTGCAGGATGACCCCCACGTGCTTCTTGTTGGGGCTGCCAAAGCTCTGCAAAACAGCCCCAGCCTGGGTCAGGCCACCCATGCCTCAGCACTCCCTCTGGCCCATGGGTGAGCCCGGCCAACGTGTCCACCCGCTGATGGTGCGAGCTGCGAGATGGACCCAGCACACAGGCACTGGTCAGCTCTTCAGGAGCGAATCCAGCCCCTCGATTACAGCCTGGGGTGGCTGCCTCTGCAGGGCTCGGCCCACTCACAGAATTCTAGAGTGCTGTGGACTGAGCCTCAGCCCTGTGCCAGGCACTGCCAGGCCTCTGTCCACCCACGGTCCTCATTCTTCCAAAGCACCACACAAGGAAGGCGTCATTCCCCCGCGTAACAGCTAAGGCAAGGTAGGCTCCAAGAGCGCTCGCCAAGGCTCCCTGCTGGTAAGTGGCAGCCAGGCCAGCACCCAGGTCCCCAGGCCCGCTGCGAGCCCAGAACGCCCCAGGGGGAGCTGAACCCCACTGGGCTGTGGGCCCCTGAGGGCAAGAGGGTCCCATCTGTGCCCCCTCAGCATTTGACACACAAGGTCAGGGAACTGTCTCCACCCTTTTCCTTCCACGGCTTTCTTGCCTGTCTACACAGATTCTTTCAAAGGAGAGGGTCCTGACAGCACACGGTCCTTGGGGGTGGGCCGGGGGCAGCTGCTCCTGGGGCCTGTCTGAGGAGCTCACAGATCCAGCGGGCACTGAGGGACCTTTGGTGAGCTCCCACCCCCCTCTGTTTCTGCAGCAGCTGAGAAGTCGGCTCTGCCCCTGCTCAGCTCCAGGAGGTCCACCTACCTGGGACATTAAGGTGTCACACGCCGTGGACAAGCCGAATCCTACGGAAACCCCGCAGACATTGATAAACTGGCCGCACCCAGGAGAAAACACAGGGCTTGTCAGGCAAGGCCTGAGGAGGGGACCCTGCATCCTAGGGGGGTTTCCCAACAAGGCTCTGATGTGCAGCTGAGCCCAAGTCCCCTCTCTGGGCCGGGCCCCGCCTGCACAGCCTGTGTGTCATTGGGCGAGGCCCTCGGGTCCCGGCTGTGAAAGCAGCTGTCAGCCGTCGTGCTCTGTGTCTTCTCCCTGGAAGCCCGGGGGAAGCCTGGGAGGGAACCTCCCTGCACAGGCCTGGCTGTACTCACGGCCACCGAGAGGGTCACTGACGCCAACTCCGCCTTGCCCAGGTGCCCGCAGAACACAGAGCTCACGATGTAGATCATGAAGGTGAGCAGCTGGAAGAGGAACTGGAGGCCAGCGGCCAGGGTCAAGGGCCCTGCTCAGCCCTTCCGACCCCACAGCTTCCGCCCCGCACAGCCCGGCCCTGGAGTCAGGCCTCTCCGGGTCCTGAGGGCCTCACACCAGGACCAGCAAAAAACACTCAGCCACTGGGCACATCGCCCTCACCAGGGGAAGCGAGCCTTGTGGCCGGGGCTGACACAGCAGCCAGGGTTGGAAGTCAGGAGACCTGAGTCCTGTCCCATTCTGCCGTCAGCAGCTGCGTTAACCTCCAGGCTGCAGTTTCCCTGTCTAAAAGTGCGAGAATGCACGAGAAGCAACTAGCACAGGGCCTGGAGTGTAGAGAGCTTTATGCAAAAATTTGGTGCTGCTACTGATGTTATTATAATCATTTGGTCAGGCCACATGCAAACAAAAAAGGAGTGCAATAAAATACACCAAAATCTTAGTAACAGTTATGTCCAGGTGGTGGGATGACATTAATTTCTTTCTTCTTTATAACCTTTCGTTTTGTCTGAAATTTTTATAGGGAGCACATATTGATTAGTCTTTATGGTCAGAAAAAAACGTATCTGGGCCGGCCCCGTGGCTTGGTGGTTAAGTGCGCGCGCTCTGATGCTGGTGGCCCGGGTTCGGATCCCGGGCGCGCACCGAGGCACCACTTCTCCGTCCATCCTGAGGCCGAGTCCCACATACAGCAACTAGAAGGATGTGCAGCTATGACATACAACTATCTACTGGGGCTTTGGGGGGAAAAAATAAATAAATAAAATCTTTTAAAAAAAAAAAAAAAAAAAAAAAACGTATCTAAGGTTATTTTCCTGTTGGAAATAAAAGGGGCAGGGGGCCCCTTCTTTCCCCCAGCAAATGCCCGGTAGGCGAGACCTACACCCTCCTACATCAATGGATCTCACTTGTCATTGGGGGTCTTTCAACCCAGGCTCCCAGTGAGTTTCTGAAGAACAACACATCCACCCCTTGTGAGTGGGGGCTGCCTGCTGCTGAGGAGGTCTGGCCCCACTGCCACCCTGGGACAGCCATCCTGCTGTCACCTGCTCTGGGCAGTAGTCCCTAGTGCAGCCTGGACATGGTCACCACGGGCATTTTCTGGGGAAGGGTGTGAGCAGCCCCTGGCACACCTCCGTGCTGTGCCTAGACAGCATCTGGCCACCAGCCTCGCTGGCCCCCCAACCCCACCTTCTTACCAGGGGTCCAGAAAGGACAAGGAGCATCCACGCCTCGGCCCCAAAGCCGATAGGGACCAGCCTGCAGAGGATAGGGCAGCGGCCCCCTCGGCCCGGGGGGACTGTGTCCTGGAGGCTGTCCATCCCAAGCCTGGGCCACCGGCCGCCCTGCACGCCTGAGCACTCCCGCAGCCACCCTTGCCCAGCGGCCCATGTCAGCTTGCAGCCTGGTTAATGACTAAGGGGCGAGAGGAGGGGCTGCAGCATGTGCCCTGCCCCCTGGGCACTGCGCCTCTGCTGCCCAGGCCACTAGCCCTGGCACCAGGAGAGGACAGGACAGAGTCCTGGGCACCTGGGAGTCACTCAGACTGATGCTCTCCCAGAGGGGTCAGCACAAAGCCCCCAGAGGACAAGGTTTGGGGCAGTACGGAGGTGTGCTGGGCCTGGGGGTGAGGGCAGGGCATCCTGGCTGCGGGGGAACTGAGGTGCTAGGCGTCTTACACCTTGGCATGTTCGTGCCCATGATGACTCCCATTCACAGATTAAGAACTGGAGACTCAGATGGCCGGCCCGGTGGCATAGTGGTTAAGTTCACGCACTCCACTTCGTCAGTGTCCCAGGGTTCATGGGTTCAGATCCTGGGTGCAGACCTACACACCGCTCGTCGAGCCATGCTGTGGCAGCGTCCCATATAAAGTAGAGGAAGATGAGCACAGATGTTAGCTCAGGGCCAATCTTCCTCACCAAAAGAAAAGAAATGGAGACTCAGAGAGGTGGGTGGCAGAGCCTGGGTCCTGTCAAGGCGGGCAGCCTCCAGAGCCTGCCCTGGGAGGGGTGAGGTGGGAGGGAGCACCAGCCTGGGGCTAGGAGCTGGGAAGCCTGGGAAGAGTCTCCTAGCCCTCCCTCTGCCCACCACCCTTTTGGCAGCATCCCTGAGAGCCAGGGTGACCCCACTTGGGCGAGCAGTTCGCCTCTCTTGTCACCACTTTGCCCAGCGAAGCTGTCACCAGATGCCCCATCAGGTTCCTCTCTGGCCCACCATCTCCCCTCTATTCTCTTCTGTGCAGGGGTGGCCTGCGACCCACCACGGACAGGCAAGGCAGTGTAGCCCACGGGAGGCTCATCACCACCACCTCACTTGGCCCAGTCCTGGATTGGGCTTCAAGGTGTGCGTTCAGCCAGGAAAAGGAGGAGCAAGTGAGGGCGGCCAACAGGAGGAGCAGGCCGGACAGCCGGCTACAGGAGGGCGGGGCTCCAGTCACCTCAAATGCCCAGCTGGGCTCCATGCCCACCCCTTCAGTGAGGGAGTGGCCGGCAGGATCCCACGATGCAGCCCCTGTGAGGCTCCCAAAGGAGAGGAGTCAAGACGAAAACCAACCAAAGATGTGCATCACAGCCCAGCCCATGGCGGCCCTGCACATACTCCCTCCCACATACACACACAACCTCCTTTCTTTACACAGAATTCCAAATGCTCCCCTGGCTTCTGCATCTGGGTTACCCGGCTGACGTATATTCCTTCCCTCATTCTGTCGAGTTCCTATTGCAGTATTCTACAACCTGTGCACTAAATAGTAAATTTACTGCCCACAAAGAGGAAAGAGAAGGCATTTTATTACCATGGTAATTATTAGCAGTACATGACACAAAAAGGGAGGGATCAGACTACAAGCTACAACCCTCAGTTAGAAGGTCACGGCCAGTTTAGGACACCTCTCCTTCAAGGCTTCTTCCATGTTCTTCTCATCTGTGGCTCATTCTCAGCTGGTTTGGCTTCCTCTTTTGAAAGGGTGACCAAAAACCTTCCTTCACTCTGTTACCGGACATGTACCCGGGTTCTTTACCCGCCACACAAAAGGGGCCAAATCAAACTGGAACGCCAGGCTTACGGCAAGGAAAGCATTTTTATTTTGGGTGGCATCAGCCAAGAGAGGAGAGTGAGCCCTCAAATTCGTCCCATCTCCCCAAAAGATGGGAGGCAAGGCGTTTTAAAGGTTGCGAAGGAGAATGTGTGCTGGGGTTTAGGTAAAGGAGGGGGAGCATTGCTGGGGTTTAGGGAGGGGAGGGGAGCGTGTGCTGGGGTTTAGGTAGGGGAGGGGGAGCATTGCTGGGGTTTAGGGAGGGGAGGGGAGCGTGTGCTGGGGTTTAGGTAGGGGAGGGGGAGCATTGCTGGGGTTTAGGGAGGGGAGGGGAGCGTGTGCTGGGGTTTAGGTAGGGGAGGGGGAGGGTGTGCTGGGTTTAGGGAGGGCAGGGGGAGCATGTGGCCCTGCTGCTTGGCACCTTCCCACCAGTCTGTGTTTGGCCTTGAAGACTGAATTTCTTTCCCTGGACTGTCTGGACTCTTCTGGTTAGTTTTCATCTTCAGCCTGCGTTTGGCCTTGTGAGGCTGAATCTTGACGTCTGGACCTCGACTTCCTGGGAAAGACAGCTCACTCACATGCTAAGTAGGGACAGAAAGACCTGGTTAGTTTTAAACAACAGTCGATTATGCTGAGTATGCACAGCTGCAGTTAGCAAAGCTTATCTCAAAGTTTTTGCTCTCTTCTTCTAGCCCAGGGAAGATTTTTCAACCTCTTCCTGCTTGGTTTCAACCCCAGGGACCTGGGCCTCTGTGGTCTCTGATCTGTGAAGCTGTTCTCTCCCACACCCCTTTCAGGATGTCAATCCCAGGACCTGGGCGGGATTGACCCTGGTTAGCAGCAAGGGGTAGGCCGTGGGGAATCACTGACTTCCCACTGCAGTGCGTGGCAGAGGCAGCGCAGTGGGAACCGCTTCCCCCGGGTGTGGGGGTTCAGGATCTACAAGCGCTCCAAATGCTCCCAGATAGGACTTTCAAATGACTGTGGCTCCAACCTTTTCCAATGAATGCCCTACTTTTACTGCAGTGATGACAAACTCAGCTGGCATTGCCGCTGTTCAGCAACCTGCAGACCCAGCCTCGCGGTTTGGTTTTCTAGGATTTCACCCTATAGAAGCTGACGTGGAGTCTCAGAGCAGCACTGCAGACGAGCCCCAAGCATCGTCCTGTGGCTAGGCGGGAACTCGGAGGGCTCAGCTGCTGCCCTCTTTCTAAGTTGTCCAACACTGTTGGGAGCAGCTATGCCACTCTCCATCCTGCTCCCTCAGTGGTCTTAGACACCACTCCCCGCTGATCAGTGGTTCAGTGCTCCGTGACAGAGGCCACGAGTCCCCATGACTTTGGGAGCCTCCCCCCTTCGCAGATAAAAACTTGTTCCCAAGCTCCCTCCTTCCCCTGGGGCGCTGTGGCCTACAGTTGCCTCCTGTGTGCCAATTTCTGTGTCAACCACGGCTCTTTGGTGGAAACAGTAGAAACTAACTTGGGATAACACCAGAAGAGCAAGGAAGAAGGGAAGGAGGCAGGGGGAGAAAGGGAGTGCGGAGGGAGTAATTACTAGCAGGTGATCTAGAAGAAGGCTGAGCAACAGCCTTGAGAACAAGAGCATCAGGGCAACTCTGGACTCAGGGTTTTTAAGGGCAAGCACATGAGATGACTCAGCTCCAAACACCTTCAGTCCCAGAGGCAAATTCCTGGGAGACTGGGGCAAGAGCCAACCTGTGATGGGCATGGAGGAGGAAAGTGTGGGAAGGAGGGAGCTGTGGACCACCTGGAGTGGGGCCGGTTGGTTCCTCCAAAGGATGGGATGCTGTCTAGATAAAAAAAACAGTACCACCTGTACATCTTGCTTTGGTTATCTATCACTGCATAATAAATGACCCCAAAACTTAGTGTCTTAAATCAGCCACCATTTATATCACAACTCTGCCGGCTGCTGGGATCAGCTGGGTGGTGCTTTGTCTGCACATGGTGTTGCTGTGTCTGCAGTCAGGAGGCTCGCCTGGGCTGGACGGTCCGCAACGGCCAGCTGTCAGCAGGCGCTCTGCTGAGGCTGTCCCACAGCGCACTTGCATCTTCCTTCACAGGACCTCTTTGCATCTTGGAGCTGGCGCCAAGAGGAAACATTCCAGAAGTGCAAGAGGAAACTGCATCTACGTCAAAACCCAGCCTGGAAGTCACACAGGTCACTGCTTCCTGTTGGCCAGAGCGAATCACGGGGCTAGCCCGGACTTGGAGGGAGAGGAAACAGCTTCTGCTTCCCGATGGGAGGAGCGCGGAGAATCTGCAGCTGCTGTGATCCACCCCTGACGCACTCGCTCGCCCTCCTTTCTTCCATCTCCATTCTCCCTTCTCCTCCTGTTTCCTCTCCCCTATCCAACCCACTTCCCACGCCTCGCCCCTGAGCCAGGGCAGAGGAAGGGGGCCTGAGCCAGACTCAGTGGCAAGGGGGCTCAGGCCTGCCCAGGACCCTCCCAGGGAAGAAGCACCCAAAGCTACAAAGTCCTGGGCAAGGCAGGAGGCGAGGTGGGGGGAAGGGGAGTAGAGAGTCATTGCAAGCCCCCCAACACAGCCTGGGGTTAAGGAGGCTTCCGACCCAAGAAGCGGAGCCTCCCCCAGGTGGCTGGTTCCCCATGCCCAGAGGCCGCACTGTGCCACGAGCTGGGAAGGGCTCAACGACCACGGAGTAAGCAAGCACGTGTGGGAGCGGGCCAGGAGCCACTGACCTAGGCAAATTGGGTGGGCCAGCAACCGCAGGGGAGGCCTCTTGCCACAGAACAGCTGCAGCAAATGCCAACACAGAGCCATCCCCAGAGGACGCTGTCACCAGCTGCAACGCCTGCAGCACCAGGAGGACAAGCCCCCTGGGGGTGGGCCTGGTCCTTGGTCCCTGCCATCAGGTAAATGATTGCCTGGGGTCCTGCCAGGTACGGGCCTCTGTTAGTTTCCTCGCTTGGTTACACTTCTCCAGGCCCGAAGCCATTGTGTTTGCCCTTTGGCCACCTCGAGCCTTGCACCCCCAGGCCGGGGTGCCAATGTCCCTCTCTCTGACGTCTCCTCTCTGCCCCATGACCGGGGAGCGTGGGGACTCTGGCCTTCCGGCCCCTCAGCTCCACATACATCTGCAGAGCAAAGGGCAGCTGGGGAGCTGCTTGCCTGCTGCCTGTCCCCAGGCCTTCTGCTGAGCGATGACCACCATCTGCACAAGGCCTGAGGCCACCCTGAGCCCCACCCGCTGCCTCTTAGATTTTGGCAGCTGCTTCCCTCTCTCTCTGCCTCTACCTCAACACCTCTTCCCTCCATCCCTCCC